GGACGAAAAAGTAGAGAAGTGAAAGGAATGGATGAAATATAAGGAAGTATGAGACAAGGGGGAGAAGCTTTAAAGTCACACTTGGCATGATTGTGTTGCAACCAATCCATACCAAGGATGAGGTCAAAACCTTGACTCGGCACCACCCACAATGACTGCAACCCAAGCTTGAGATTGCCCACATACACAACTAGGTCCGCCTCATCCCGTGCACATGCATGTGTGCAACTATTGCCATAAAGAATGAAAACTAGCTCCATTGCACGATGCAAGTGTAGATGGTAATGTGTGGCAACAAATCGAGCAATAGAAGATAAACTCGAACCTGTATCAACTAACACGGAGAGAATAATAGGAAATTGGTTGTTATAAAAACGAGCTTGGAAAGTAAACACTAGATGAACTAGTGTTGAGTGAACCCCTTGATAATACTCTCGAAAGAAAGATGGAGGGGTTACTAACTTATTCGCGCAAGATCCCTTCGTTACTCGCATGACTCCTCCTTTCCCAAATGCATCTCGGTGTCTAGACCTTCCGCTGCAACAGCACCAACAGGACGTTGTTGATGCCAAGGTCTCCACCTAGGAAATGGTGGCTACCAATCTGGAAAACGCCAACATTGATAAGTGTGACCAACTTCATCACATGCTTAGCAACAAATATCACGGCCATGACCATGTCCTTGCCCTTGTCCTTGGACTCAAGCAGCAGTAGCATCAACCTCCATTGGAATAGGATTATCACCCACAAGAAATGGAGTTGAAGGATGTATAGCGAGAAGTGGAAGAAGTGACGTCTCATAATGATGTGCCAAGCGAAGAGCATTGTTAAGGGTGGCTGGAACAAATGCATGCACGAGTCCAACAAAATCTTGACGAAGTGTTGGCCACAACATTCTTAGCTTGATCTGCTCTGATATATTTGGTTCTGCATGAAGCAAGAGGCTTTGGAAACGAATGCCAAATTGCCTTTGACGAATACAATGCAATTGTTAGGAGGTATTATCACAATCGTCAACATGTCTGAATGTGTGTTTGAAGACGTTTGGGAGAACATTCCAATCCCCACAAGTGGGTGCTCAAACCATTGTACCACTACAACACGTCCGTTAAAGACACGTGGGAAATTCATACACACGTTGAGCATCATCCCAAGAATGATATATAGCAATCACCGTGAAGTGATTGAACCAATAGTACACATCATCCTTAGGATTCCCACAAAAGAACTCTGGCTGAACACAAAGATTGGCACTAAGAGCAAGAAAAGCTATACCACGTGTCGTGAATGCCACCATTAATTGAGTTTGGTTGTTCAATTGCAATCGTATAGCATCAAGCAATTGCACTAACTGCTGCTCCAGAGTTAAAGGAGGAAGAGACTACTGATCTGCTATGAAAATGAATGAAAAGGAAAGAGCAAAAGAAGAGAAATAAAATTTTTTTAAAAAAACTAGAAGGAAAAGAGGATTTAAATAACGCAAAAAGCTAGATCTAAACCAAAATCCTAAAAGGAAAGAACTAAAAAAAGGAAATGGAAAAAATTAAGATCTAGATAATCCAAAAATTAAATCTAAACTAAAATCCCAAATCAAAACACTCTTTGGTACCCCTTATCTCCACCAATGTGAGTGCATGGAATATGAAATATATAAGCTAGAGTTTTTAGGCTAATTGATATGTACATTTTCTGTATTCCCTTAGTTCCAATTGAAATTAATCCAATGGCTACCAAAATCCCATTACACTAATATTAGTATATAACATTGTAATTGTACACTTGGACCTTACATATGTATATATGTATATATGTATAAAACATAGTTCACATAAAACCTTAATTTGTGAAGTACCAAAACAATATTAATACTAGCATGTATTTGTTTACATCAGTTCTTCCTTTCGTTCCTTATCCAATGCCACCATTTTATTTATCAACATCCCTTTGGTCTTGAATGCTTTTCTGCCCGTGTCTTCCATTCCAAACTTCTCCTTGGCCATTTTCTCTGGCTCAACTCTATGCAAAGCCAGAAGTCCCAAACCATCATTGCAGACATCAGTGTAGCTTGTTTTCCAGAACCGTTTACTTGTAATCTCATGAAGTAGCTTGTAGTCTTTCGCATTCAAGCCTGGTAGAAATCTGTCATTGAACGGCTGAATGTGCAGCTGGAATGCAGGTGTTTTGTACATGCTCCTCGACACTGCCTTCTGCATCCCTACACAGTCCTCGGGCTTGGAGGAACACCCCATAAACAAGAAGTGGAGTTTAACGTTGTCTGCGGTTACAAACTTATCAATATCTGGAAACCAGGTGCGCAGATACTCCAAGCTCATAAACTGCCAACAGGACTTGATGTGTTCGTCGATATTGACAGTGTACTGGAGAGCCACAATGTGAAGACGGGAGTTCTTGTCCACCCAGGCCACCACCGCATCAACGAAAGGAAAACGCACGTCTGACGGCTTGTAGAAATAACCATTGTTGGGGGTGATCTTCAACATGGTCTCAACATGGCGGGAAGGAACAATGTTGAAGTCCACCACGGTGATGTTCCCGGAGATTTTCAGTTCGCCGAGCACGAGCCCCTTCTTTTGAATTACATTTGCCAGGTCCTCGCACAGCCAGCCAAATTCTGACCAATTGATCTCCTCATTTTCACATTCTAAAAGCCGTCTCACATACTCCATCCAAGCTCCATCGCGGTAAGGCTTAATTTTCTCTTCCTTGGCACGGACCACCCTCGTGTAGATTCTCTTGATAAAGGTGGAGCAGTAGACTCCATTCTCAGGGTCCAGCACGTAAGATGAGTCGAGACAGTCCATGGCAGCATCACGGCATTCGCCTTCAAGCCGAATAGCTTCCGCGATCCTGCGAACCCCTGAAATCTCACGGTGCTGGGCAAACCTCAGGAGAACTTGGTCCCAGTTGTCATCCTCACTAAGCAGCTCCACCATCTGTTCTTCACTTGGTTCCAAGCATGCTGTTAAGACGATAGTTTCCCGGAGGCTGGCACCACTTATGATCTCCGAGTCGAGCAATTCCAACGTGAATTGCTCACAGCACTCACATAGTACCTCCAGAAAAAGGGGTACGAGCCCAGTGTGGTATTCGATGCTTTCCAACCGATACTGAAGCTTTCCAAGGACACACCTGGATGCGTATGTCATATACTCAACCTGTCATAGGATTTGTGACGACGTTATCAGTTAGATGGACAAGAATATTAGAGTATCAAAAGCTTACCCAGCTGAAGCCGCTCTGTGCATAAGCAAACGACTCAAGATGTGGAACAATAGAGAATAGAGGGTCATGCACAATGTGAGATATGCAACACCATACCCTCTTCCCAGTACGCAACAGGCGGTACAAATTGTGAGAAATGTTGCTCTTCGGCCCGGAGTCACAGGCCGGTTCCCGAAAAATGTCCAAAGGCTCCAGTTTCTCGCCACCATCCACGAAGAAGTAGAACTCCTCCTGCTGCTTACGAGCCTCCACGAAATCAATAACATTTTCCACAGAAGAAAGCTTTCGAATGGCAGATATCACGGTGTCTGGGTCCTCCGCCAGAAATGAAAACAACAAACCGTTTCTCATGGCTTCAGTTTCACTGATCACAAGGTAAACTAGCCGCTTCTTCACGTTCTTTGTTGTCGGCATTAATCCAGCCGCCACCTTGTTGTCGACGCCAACTTTGCCGAAGAGTATGCAGAAGAGCGCTCTGAAGTCGGACGACTTCCCAACGCCCTTGGGCCCATAGATCACGTAGTCATGATCAGAGCTGTACCACCGGAGGTGGAGCTCTCGTACAGTCCTTCTACCCACGAAGTCGAGAATTACTTCCGGCCTCGTACACGAATACACACGACCTACACCGGGATACGGCAGGGCTGTCGATTTGCTCGGATCCATGAGATCAACTTCATTAAGCTTCAAAAGATCCTCAATCGCAGCTTTGGCACCTTCAAGTGAAATGTTCCCGGGCGATCTCTTACGCTTCGAGCCCACTCGAGATCCGATGAATCCCCGCTCGTCATAGCGCCTGAACCGCTCCATGCCCCAAGCCCAATCCCTAAGCTGGAGGAAAAAGCAAAAGTGGTCCTTGTTCTTTTGGAGCTTGCAAATGTTTTATGTCCCTAGTTGAAACATATATCTGGGTGTGCGAAGCCATCAAGAATTTCCAAGAGCTCCCAAGAAAAGAAGAAGAAGAAGAACCTTCAATCGATCGATTGGATCAATAGAGAAAAAGGAATAGCATCTTGTGAATCTTTCAGAGGATTAGGGGGGAAGGAGGCACAAGGAGCAACAATCATGTCTGCTGCACAGGAACAACACAAGAAAAAGCATTTTCCACAGACCAATAATATCATTTGCCCGCCATACCTGATTTAGGGTTAGGGTGGCGATGCAAATCTCCCGCGATGGAAGCGGTCAATTTCAATAGTAAGAGGTTGAGAGAAGCTTTTACTATAGAATAATTGCATTGCATGGAGAAGTAGACCACATGGCAATTGCTAACATGCATACTTTAGATACATATAAGGCAGCAAAGCTTAATCACCAATCAAGCTCACCATGAAGGCTGTTTTGGTGTTTCTTGTGTTTGCAATTTCCACTTTTCAGATTGCATTGTCTTCTTCTCCTTCTTCAAGTAGTTCCAGGGAGCTCTTGGACGAAGCTGAGATTTATGGGGTTTCAGTAGTAGCAGAGCCAGCATCCAATTCTTCACTTGTGAATCTTTCATCAGATATGGATGATTGGGAGGGAGGCAAGCACAGAGGGGACAGCAACAACAATAACAACAACATCAACATTAACATCAATATCTTCTGCAAGAACAAGTCTATGGATGGTGATCACAAGAAGGAGGATGACAAGAAATTCATGGATCATGAGCACAAGGAGGAAGAAGAGCAAAAGTCTATGGATGGTAATCACAAGGAGGAGGAGGAGGACAAGCACTCCATGGATCATGAACAGAAGGAAGAAGACAAGAAAAGGTATTTTCCATAGGCAATAGTATCTCCTGTAGAAGTATCAAAGCACCAATAAAACCATGAAGCATACAAATCTTTTTTTCACGTAAGTTTTGCCATGACCTTATCAAGGTGGCGAAGCACCTGGTTACAATCCACGGTGGCGTCGTCCATGACAATGGAGTGGTAATCCAAACCCATCCACTGCGAGATAAACATGTAGTGTGGCCGCATAAACAACGGGCTCAGCATCTCCACCACCGACGTCCCCGGCCTCGCAAACACGATGTGCGTAAGCCCAGCTCCATGAACTCCCACGATTATCGACGAAGACTTCACCGCTTTGATCTGCTCGGCCAGTCTCATGTGAGCAAACAGCCCGTTGAAGACCGTGATCTTCCTGCGAGCTCCGGCAACGCTGTTTCTTTTGCTGGCCCAGTCCACCATCGCCTTGTACAGCTCCTCTTCGTTTGCCAGCCTCGACTCCGGCTTTCCGGAGTGCCGGGGATGAGCCAAGTAGTCTTCTCGCCGGATGAGTAGGACCTGTATCACGTCGGAGCGATTCTCTTCGGTGGAATTGCTGCCCGACAACGCTGCTGAGAAGATCTCGCCGAACTCTCGGAGCCTTGCTGTTTTGGAGGCGTCCACTTCTGCTGGCGAGCTGCCGGTGCAGGCCAGGCCGGTCCCCAGGAACTTGAAGAGAGCTGTCTCGTAACCCAGAGGCACGAATACGGCGCGGTCGAAGCAAACGTTGTCGCCAAAGTGCTTGGCGTATTTGACACCGCTGAAGAACGCTTCCCAGCCATCGTCCATGGGAGACTGTGGAAGAAAAGAGGAAAAAAACCTGTCATAGCTGCGACAGAAAGAGTTGATCGCGTTTTACCTTGCAGTGCCCATCCAAGAACACCACCATCGGCCGCTCCTCCAGCCCAACGACGCGAGAGCTCGCGTAGGAGCTATACCAATCGGTGACGGTGTGGAAGAGATTGGCGTACTCGAACCTCGTGACGAACAGCGTTGGCTTGGTGATCACCTACAATGGAAAAACGAAGAACAAAAGCCCAACAAGTTGACGAGAGAAGAACAAATGGAAAAACTTACCTCGGAGCAGCGCGAGCTCTTGGAAGAAACCGTCCGGATGGATTCCACCAAGGAGCGCAAGCCATGGCGATTGCCACCGTGACCTCTCGCGATCACCTCGTCCAGCCGACCACCCTCCACCAAAGCCTTTCCATCCGCCTCGTCCGGGACTTGGAGCTCGAAAGCTCCCACCTGGAACACTGGCAGCTCCTCCTGCTCCTCCCTTCCAATCACCGCATCGATCTCCTCCCCTCCAGCGGTCATGGAGATTCTCGATGCATGCATCACCATCTTGGTCCCCTCGCAGACCGAGGTCTTGAGAGCGTCGCTATGGTAGCAGCGAAACGAGCCTCCATAGCTCCCGGAATGATCCACCACTCTCCGCAAATCCGAGAATCCATTCCCGAAAAAGGCCTCGCAGGAATGCGAGGAGCTTCGATCAGCCGGCAGCCATGGAGAGTAGGATTCCACCAGCGACCATTTCTTGACGACGTAGGAATGGACCCTGGCCTTGGGCGGCAGCTGCTCATCCCTGTCTGGATTTTGCTGCTCGATCGATCGGTGGAGGAAGAAATACCCGAGCTGGATGAGATTGAGGACGATCACAAGAGCGACGATCCTGCGCACGCGGTCCTTCCTCATCGATCACTGCCGACGCCGCCGCATTTGGCGCATTTGTAAACCCTAGAGTCGCGGCGAGAGACTTACCTGCGATCGGGGAGGAGCTTCTCCGCTGTGATCGAGCGATCGCGCGAGAGAGAGGAGGGGCAGCATTGCGCTAGAGCGCCAACACGCTCCTCCCGGTCACCTCACACCAACACAAAACCTTCCACACATGACACGTGGCAGCATTGGAGCAGGCTAGATGGACGTCATCGACGCGCGGACAATGAGCTCAATTCTGGGCCGTTGGATGTACGGTCGAGCGCTCGCTTTATCCGAAGTTGAAAAAAGTGAAAAATAAATGGAATATTGAATTTGAATAGCTACAAATCTCTGCAAAAGAATCTCAGCTTGCATCCTGGAAGATGACAAAACCAAACGACGAACGAGCCAGAAAAAAAGAGAGAAAACGTTAGGCCAAGAGAGAACCAAATCATCTAAAGCGCTGCGCTTTCGATCGATCGATCGAGTTTTATTTTACGTACCTCCAGCTTTGCCTTCGCTTCTGGATCGAACGTCTTGCACAAAATTTCGTAGTTCTTTTCAGCTCCAATCTGGACAGAGCAGCACGTTATATGTGAAAGTTTGATGATCTTTAAGACTTTTAGTACTACCAGTGGATCGACTCTTGAAGGCGAGATGCTGGAGACCACGTACCTGGGGATGGGAAAAATATTAAAAGCTCGAGAGAGAGGAACCAGAGACTTCTTTGCTTACTTCAGCTTGGAATAGAAGGCCATGGCCGCAAGATTTCTCTTCTGAACGGTTAAAAGCACTGCCTTCATGTTGTTCTGCATTGAAAGTTGTAAAAAGGACGAGAAAAAATCTGTAAGAAAAACCAGGACCAAAAAAATAAAAGGAAAACTGAACCTTTCGCGCAACCAGCTCGAGGAGTTGCATGAGAAATTTTCCAAGGCCTTTCTTCTGGACGCACTTCTCGAGCTGCAGCTCGTACACATACAGCACCGGGATTTCCTCGTCGATGAGGAACCGAAACTGCACAAAAGACACCACGGGGTCACCGCCGTCTCTCCAGAGTCCATCGTGCTTTCCAGGATCCTCCACCAGTTGCCGAACAATTATGTACCGAGCCTCGGAAGCAACCATTTCCCGCTTCTTCACTTTCTCCTCCGCTGGCCACTCTGAGCCGTAAGGTCCTTCCATGTTTTCCTGGGAAGATCGCAAACATAAGACAAAGAAAAGAAAAGGCCCGGAGTTTTGGACAATCACGAAACTCTACCTTGAGGAGGGCTTGGATATAACGTTTCAGCGGAGCAGGCAAAGTCTCTCCAGACTGCGGCTGCATGATCAGGTTCAATCCTGGAGGAGCAAAACCAGCGAAGTGTCACAGCCAAGATTTATCTTCCAAGGAAAGAAAAGAAGAAAACGCGCACCGCTCCTCTGGTAAGTCAAGAAGGCCGGGAACTCGCTCAAGTGATCCTCCTTGGCGTAAGCCATCCGGATAACTTCATCAATCGCCTTCTTCCGATCAAGTTCCTACAACACCAGCACGAAACGGTGAATTTGATGCGCGGGTGTGTTCTTCGGAAGCACACAAGCGAAGCGACTTAATACCTCTTTCCTCTTCAATTTCTTCTCTTTACTACTGAGCTTCTTGCTGCTGCTTCGATCCATAGAAGCTGCAAGCGCCAGACGATCCGATCCCGCATCCTAGAAAAAAAAAAACCAGAATTTACCCGAGCCCAGTATATATATGACGAAATATTCCCCGCAAAAATTCACACGTGCAGTAATAATCTCTAACCTTTAAGCCTGCCTACACAGCCACACACTCCCCACACACACTAGACACTCACACGCACAAGCATCGTTTTCACCAGGGCCAAAACGAACAAAGGTCATCCTCGGGAAGACGCAACCAAGCGAGAAAAAAAAATCAAGAGACCAAAAATCTAATACATCCATCCATCCACGATCCATTCATCCAACGCAAGAACAAATCAAAAATACCACAAGCAGCATTCATCCAAGACAAAAAAGATCCCAAAACAATCCATCCCGGCAAGAAAGACCGAAATCCGGGCGCCAGGAACAGGAAATTCACGGATCGTGCAACCGGTCACATCCGATTCCCGCAAATATCCAGCTCCCCGCGCGGAATCCGATCGAAATATCAAAAGCAAGAGAGCGACACATACCTAGTGGAGCAAGAACAAAGGAGGAGCGGCAATCGGCCCCTTTCACATCCGATGCGCCAGATGACGCCGGAATTCCCTGGAGCTGATCAATGCCTGGATTCGACGCGGCAGCGACCGGCAATCTGAGCACGGATTCCAGATGCCGAGGTCCGCCCCGGGGCATCGCCCTGGCTGCCGGCTCCTCGATCGCGTCCCCCGGCGCCAAAGATCCACAGAGAAAAAGAATTATGGGGGAGACCAAGCACAAAATGGGGGCTCCAAGCACGAAGAGTGGGTTCCGTACACCGCGCCCGCGGTGGTACGGCACCATCTCCCCGTACCGCACGGCACAGACGTGGACGGCTTGCGGCGGCCACATTTAAACCCCTGTGGCAGGTTTGGTAAATTGCCTAAACGAGAGAACCTATGACTGCAGTCTACACAACGTCCACGACGTCCTGTCCAAAGCACACATACAACTCAAACGCAACGAATATCCACCCCTGGCCAAGTGGCCGCCACGTAGGCATCGGCCTTGCCCGCCACGTGGCAACCCGCTTTGCTGACACGTGTCACCACACTTGGCACGTCTAGATTCTGTAAATCCCAGAGAATTGTAGACCCAGTGGATTGTAGAGTGCGTCACTGTGGAGGACTCGCTTCTTCTCGCGTTATCTCTAAACTTCTGTGAGATGAAGTTTGCGATCGATCCTGTGAGACAATCTCGCGTTCTTTCGAGGATCTCTGATCCTTTTCATGGTTTCTTGTGGTGTCACCTATTACTCGGGAAGTCTTCGCTTTCGGCTACTTTGAATGCCTGGGGCTGCTTTCCATCGCAATAAAGATTCCACATCTTGAAGTAGCACCTCTCCGCGTTAACCACCTGAAAAGGATGAGAGTTTCGCTAGATTTGTCAGTCACAGCCGCGGGGGACGTACGAAGAGCAAAGCGATTGAAAGTTACTCACCCAGCGCTCAGTGTCGAACAGAGGGCAGGTTAAGCGGACGGATCGCAGCCTCGAGGTTAAGCTCTCGAGCGCTTTTGGATTCTCTGCAAGCATCACAGCCCTGTCTTCGTACTCCTGCATCCTGGATTAGATTCGCCACGAGTTAGATTCCAAAACACGGAAAGCGAAAAGATCTTGCTCACTTTTTCACCACCATCTCGTCCCCGAAGCCGGCAGCATAGCACAGTGACATCGCGACACGCGTGGCCATTTTCTCCAAGGGCAGCGTTATCATCGGAAGTCCGGCCCACAGCACATCGGTGCCGGTTGTGTGTGCGTTGCAGAGCGGCCTGGATGAAGGACAGAAGGAAACGTTTTAGTCGAGAGGATTTCAAGCGGACAGTACTTACGTATCCAGGAAGAGATCGGCCAAAGCACTCCGTCGAATGTGCTCGTTTTTGGCTGCTACATCAGTGAAGATAATTTGACCAGGTCCCACCCCTTGCGCAACAGCAACTACCGAAAAGTGGGCAACTGTTAGAAGAAATATCGACAACAGCCATGAGAAGTACTCACATGCTTTTAGACGGTCTTCACCAGCTGCGGGAAAGCGTAAAAGCCAGAGCGCACTGTTTGGGACTCTTTTCAATATGTTACACCTGATCAAGACAAACGTCAGGCCCGGACATTCTAAGACAAAACTCTTACCATGTTGTAAAAATTTCCGGATCCATCTTGTACAGCTGGTTGAAACATGCAAATATAAACTTATCTTCCGGAAGACCGTAGTCCGATCGCTTGGGCAAATTGGTACTATCCAATACGTCCCGATTTTTCTGAAAGATTGTTGATTGGTTTTCAGGCATTCAGATCTCGCCGAACCGAACCTGCTTATAATCGTTGACAAAGTAGCAGTGTGGAAGATGCACAAGCTTTTCAGAATAAATATGCGCGAATTCATTCGGACACACGAGCTGCATATAAATGATCCTAACAATCAGAGAAACTTGAGACGATCTAGGAAACGTACCTCGTCAACGACCAAATAATCAATATACTGCGCACCCGTTGTCCCGGGAAATCCCATGTACGAAACTTGAATGGGGGCCGGTTTCAAAGCAAATATCTCATTTTTAGCTCCCTGAGAAACACACCGAATTTTTTATAGCAAGATATTAACAATTATCACCGACCTTCGTGTAGCCGTTCAGATTAACTAGAACTTGTATTTGATCATCAGCGATCGTTCTTGCGATCATGTCTGATGACATCGCCGACATATCTTTAAAATGCTCAGCTTCGTTCATGATTCTCTGTCGCCATTCACTACCGTCACTTTGACTCAAAGCATAACAAAACACCTGCAAGTGAGAGTTAGATAACAGAAAAAAGGAAGCTTCCAAATGTACCTCTACATTCTTTCTATTGTGCATTTTAAAAACGGAACCCATCAAATGAGAAAGCGGATGATTACCAAAATCGCTGCTCACGTAACTGTAATAAGGAAACAGCATTAGGAACGTCAACATCTTTCAGTACAATGACATACCCCAAACGCAATCTACCGCTACCACCTTCGTCTTTAACACGTACGGCAGGTGGATGGACAAATGGCTGGAGCGAAAATCGTGAAGCTACCAAAGAACAATGCTCGGCATATTTCCGACTGTAAGGTACGGGTAAGAACAAAGAAACTAATATAAAACGTGAGAACCTTATTTCCAACGCCAACAAAGGATCTAATGGATACGCGATGGCGTGAAACGGTTGCACACTAGGAAGAACTTCCATCTGAAATAACTATATCGGTCAACCGACAAAGAAGAGAAAAAGACAAAATACCTTAATTTGTTTCTTGATGATCTCTTGCACTTCTTCGAACTTTTTATCTCTTCCATCCCAGTCACAAACACACTGCAGAGTAACACAAATATTACATATCCTCCGTAGATATTTGCTTTAAAATGACAAACCTGCAAAGTGTGCAACAAGTTGCAGGTGGCTTCCGGAAAATCGATCCTAAGTTGCAATGCTTGCTTATAGCTCTTGATAGCAGATTCCACATGTCCACTGCAGAAACACACAAAATTAGTATCACTCTATGCGTATGCACACAAAACCTGTCTTTGTAAGCAGATGCAAGGTTTGCATGGCCTTCAGCCATGTTCGGCCTTATTGCTACTGCTCTCAAATAATCCTGAATAGCTTCAGTAACACGTCCAGCTTCTTTCAGGGTGTTTCCTCTATTGACAAGGCCGTCAGCCGCTGTAGGATCTATCCGTAGAACTTCATTGTAACATGCTATCGCCTCAGCATAATGACCCTGTAAAGAACTTGGCACTCAAGAAAACTTCAAAACATTAAGGGGAAACTTTTGCCTGCTGCTTGTAAATAGTCGCAAGGTTACTGTACGGGGCTGACAAACCCGTTGTAACGTTCAAAGTGGCCTTGTAAAAATTCGCCGCCATGGAAATCATGTTCCTAAGGCTTCAACTTAGCGGATGAGAGGAACAAAGGTTTGAAAATTACCATTCCATGTAAATGTTTCCAAGGTTTGTGAGCGCCTGAGGATGGTTAGCTTGAAGTGTCAGACAGTGCTGCCAATCCAGATGTAAGTTACGTTTTATAATGGACAATTGAGTGCTCACCTGATAACAAGCAATCGCTTCGTCCACCCTTCCAGCGTCTTTGAGAGCATTTCCCTGGAGAAAAACCACTCCACTTAGAAAAAAACTAAAAGAGAAGTAAGATATCGTACCAAATTGTTATAAGCCTCTATAAAAGATGAATCCAACATGATGGCTTTGTGGTAGTGCAAAATCGCCTGGTCCAATTGTCCTTGTTCATAGTACACGCTTGCCAGATTTCCTGCACACATTCATGCCGGGTCCAGCAAGCTCCCCTAAGACCTACATGCACCTTCCCGTTCTTCCTATAACTAATGTTACCAAATGCTCCACACATAGCTGCGATGCGGCCAAACCTTCTTGAACTGCCTGAAGAAACACACACCCAGGGAGCAGGCATACAATGGCCACAGGCAGTAGGGGCTCACAAACAAGCTGATCCCTGACAAGCAGCTTAACTTCACAACTAACACCACTCTTGCGACACAATGTCTTCAAGGAAGCCCTTTGAATGCTTCCAGGATGGCCTCCAACCCGCGCATCTTCATGATCAACACACATGTAAAAAACAAAAAACAAGGAAACGCAGCCAGTTAGACCACTATTGCCAGGGATCACAGTCTGACTCCACACTCAAGCTCGACCAGAACGCATTCAGAAAGCTTGGAAAGTAGCGCGTACCGTACGCAATTGCATAGTCTGGCCGGAGTTGAATGGCTCGCAAGTAGCAGACTATGGACTCCTGAGCTTTACCAAGATTCTAAAAAACCAGAATCTTTAGATCGCTTACTAGGAACATGCCACACAACTTACTTTCAAGGCGTTCCCAAGATTCAAATGAGCGTCCGCAAAGTTTGGCTTTAATCGAATAGCCTCCTGCATGGATAAAAATTCAGAAAACATAAACTTTGCGTTTTCCAACCTGATAATAAGCAAGAGCTCTTTCGTAGTCCCCTGCTTCCATCAACAGGCCAGCAAGATTTGACCACGCAATAGCAAAAGTCGGCTGTATTCGGATGGCTTCAGCATAACAATAATACGCCTGCAAGAAAATGTTTAACGTCGAGAAAGGAGTTTCAAACTTCACAAACTTACATGCGGAGCCAAGCCCTGAGCTTTGAGGAGATTACCAAGGTTGCTGTGGGCATCAACCTGAAGAATGGGAAAAGGAATATCACCCCTTGACAAGACTAGCGATTTGCAACGTACAAGACGGGGATTCAATGTCAGGGCGTGTCGACAACATGCTGCAGCTTCCTGAAGCCTCCCTTTCCGCATGTACGCACTGGCCAGATTCGACCATGCATCGCAAAACCCCGGCCGCAGCTGCATAAAACATTAAATAAACGATTAATTTACAACGATGATACAAGATACCTCTATAGCAACAAGGTAATACTGAATAGCAAGGTCCACATTCCCTTTTTCCTGCAAAAAGATCTGTCAAGTTCGTACTTGGATCTTCAATATCTACCTTAAATGCATTGGCCATATTTCCGTAACACTCTGCGAACTGTGGATCTATCCTCAAAGCCTCTTCGTTCTTAGCTATACACATATCAAAATCGTGAAGCTGTAGAAACAAACGTAGCGAGTTAGACAAGACTTGTTTGAAAAAGTAGAGGTTTTGCTTCGAAGAACTGATTCAGTATCGAGAACCTGGTAATAGATCGCTCCAAGTAGCAGCAAGACATCAGTACGTTTCGAGCTCCTTTCGTGTACTACATTGCAATGTTTTAATGCCTGCTTGTAGTTCCCAGCCTTGTACTCTTGATGAGCCAGTGCCAACAGCGTATCCCCGTCTACAGTCGAGAACTTAGAACCCTAAACAAATCCCACGCGAGGGAAAAAATAGGAAAAAAAAGAGCTCACCTTGCAATCCTTCCAAACAAACGGATCCCAAGACCTCGGCAGCCGATTGAGCAGCGTGACGGGGCAGCAGCTGATGATCCGAAAAATCGCTCCTCACGGGATCCCTCGCGAAAGGCTGCTGCTGCCGTATGACGCTTTGCTGAGAGAGCATCATCGTGACCCTCTGCCCTGGCATTCTACCTGATCATAGAATGCCTGAATCGATCGATCGCGGCGCCAAGCTCCTCAAATCCTCCCCTCTCGCGCGACCTCCTCAGCCCTGCCCGGCGCCGTGCGCCATAGCTGCGGCGCCTCGCGCATTCCTCCGAAATATTTTTTTCACCCTAGAAAGATAGTGTCCCTTTTTTCTAATTTTCCCATGATGAAAATAATCCACCTCGGGTAAAAGCGCGGTGAAAAATGTGAGTGACGCATCCGCATGCTCACAGCATGCGGCCACGCATGATATGTCCGTCAAGCCATTAAGCGGTAACCAATGGCAGACTGCCACGACGTACGGCGACCGTAAGAATTACTGTAAAAAGGACTTTTGAGCTTTTAGTTTTTACCCCACGCAAAGAAGTCGTCAATTTCATGACCGACCGACCTACCCCCGCGAACGTCTTGCTCCCGTCAAGTGAAAGGCAATAAAATCGATTAGCCACTAATCAATGTTATCTTTGGAAATTTTCTTTCGATTGGACTTTACTTATCATAGATCAACAATGTGATGGATTCGATTTGTGCAACAATTCTTCGTGTTTGGTGGTGAAGCCAATCAAAAGAATAAATGGCGCTACCCCAAAATCTGAAAATCAATACAAAATGTTTGCGCTCCCAACTGAATCAAGGGGCACCAGCATCTCCCAAATGTCTTGTGGGAGGTCAGTTTGACTTGTATAAAGAGCTAACAGGTGGAACTTTAACGTGTCAAAGGCTTGTTTGGTGTTCTAGTTTGTGATGCCAGTGCACAAGAGCAAAGTTGCTCCACCTTGGGCACTTCGAGACTATCAAAGTAGCATAATAGAGAGATAAATAGAATTTCGCATAAGTGGATCTAAACATTCTTCCATTCACCTGTGACTGGAATCTATGCGTGGGCTGTAACACAAATCTTCGTGCTTCTTGTCTTGTATACATGTCTTTCTGTCCTGCTCTCCAATTATGATTTGTATTAGGGTAGATTGACTTGAATAGTAGATAAACAGTAGGCGTGTAAGCTCATAAATCTGATCGAATATTGCAAGGATGTTGACTCTTCAACTTCTTGTTCAAGTTTTGGGCATATTCTAAGAATGTTCTCTGTTATGGTTGAGAATTAAATCTTCTCAAGTAATCAATGGCTAAGATTTCCTAGTGTTTATGAATTGGAAAATAAAAAAATAATCTTAAGAAAACTTTTTATTAGACGAAATTGTCTCTCTTGCTCTAAGTTCTTCTTGGTGGTCTGCCTTTCACCAGTACACGTATTAGACCTCTTGTACGCTAGCCAGTATTTCCACTCCTATCACAAATGCTCACCGATTTGTTTGCCGATTCACTTGCAACATGCAAGATATATAGAAACAAATTCGTGAAGCTCGTCCAGGTCCATCCACAAACCCTAGTCACACAGAGAGACGCCCTCCTCCTCCATCAATCGCATGCCCTGGCACAGCGTCGTTTCTTCATGCCGAGCTATGTGGATAAAAGGAGATCGCTCTATAGTTTCGTCCCTACAATTAGGTGTGTGGCAATGTAATTGATCCAGGGTTGACAATGAGCAGTGAGAATGACTTTATTGTGACAAGTTTGATTGACATGTTAAAGAGGTTTAGATGTCCATAGTGATCAGATTAGTTTTTTAGTCTTTTTTTTTTTTTTGTAAGACTAATTGGTTTGTTTAGATCACAAGCAACCCATCTATGAGCTTTATTTTATTGTCTTCTTTTTATGCTTAGAAGACTAATTAGTTTGTTTAGATCATATGCAACAATCCAAACATCCAAACATTTTGGAGCTCATGGAACACTTAGGTAGTGGCTTTTTTTTTCTGATCTCTCCTCTCTTTTACTGAGTTGCTCAGTTTGCATATGGATCAGGAGGCTCTAAGTGGTCGAAGCCAAGTGCTTAATTGGCTAATCTAATGATCCAATTCATTTCCTCATTCAATATTGTGAACATTAAGAGCATGCATTATAGGTTTCCCAACTCGAGTTTGGGGCTCAACTTTGAGATTAGGGTGCCCTAGAGCATTGAGCTCAATTAATTAATGCAATATTTTTATAAAGAATTTTAACAAAATTTTCATCATGCAATTCTGAATTGAATTCTTTGAATCTTGAATTCTACAAATAAAGTTTCATGAATTTCATTTTGAACAATCTATAATTTTTAATTGAATTTATAATGAAATTTCTTTGAATAAAGGTTTATATAGTTTAAAACATAATTGCATATTAAAAAGTGAGTTGCTATTATGATATTATAGAAAAGAAACATTTCATAATGTTCATTATAAAGCATTTTATACCAGATGAGAAAAGAAGAAAAATGCACTCCCAATGTTTGAACTTTTGTTGTTGCTAAAATAAATTAAAAAGTTAGTAAGGAGAATAAAATAAAAAATCTATTTCATAAATTAAAGGGGTACAAAAATCACAAATTTGCTTTTAAGTAGATTCAATATAGATGTCTACATTGAACATTACATACCAAAACAACTATCATTTCAAAAATGAACTTAACATAAGATATTGGCATATTTTAAATTTTTATTTAGCTAATCTTTAGCACTTCATTGTAGAAAAAAGACCTAATGCAACTTTAGTATGACCACACTAAACATAAAAATTTGAAAATTTAGTTTTGCAACTATGTGGGAAATATATAATTAAATTATATAGTCATTTGTATTACTTTGGTTCAAATTGAATCCAATTTAATTGCTATTAAAATCTCACTACACTAATATTAATATACCATAATATAGCTTTTTCTTGAAGGATGAGAGGCAATTAAAATTATTTAATCAATGTTAAAATAATATCAAGAGGAGGCATCAGTGCATCCATAGATAATATAATTTATTTATGATTTTTTTGTAAAGTGATATGTATGTGTGTATGTGTGTCTATATATATGTATAAATATTTTTTTGAAGGATTGGTTTACTAAATGTCATGTTAAACATTATAAATATGTAACCCAACTTATTATAATACTTGATATGATCCCTTCCATTAAGTAAAGAACCTTTTAAAAAAACCATATACTGTAAAATTGGGATGAAGAAATAACACTAAAATATTTATTTTATACTTTGTAGGTGAGAGTTATAATGCTATTATTGTTCCACTTATAGTTTAAGTGTTTAATAAACTGCACTTGGACAATTCCAAGAATGCTTTTTTTTATATTAATCCCAAAATCTAGCATTATCAACTTGTGGCAATTGTAAAGATAAATTAACTCCATTAACAATATAAAATTATAACCATATAAGAGTTTATATAATGAAACATTAACAAAACTTTCACCACTATTACATTTGCAAGCTAAAAGGATGACAAATAACCATCCTAATTTAAATATTAAAATTTTATATACTTTGCAATCATCCCTTTAAAGGTTATAATGAATTGTTTCATTAAACCATCATTTTGTGAATGATTAACACATAAAAATGTGGTGTATCCTTAGTTAAGATGCCAAGATATAGAATGCTTCAAGCATACACATGGAATCATTGTTTGATCCACTCTAGACAAAAAATATTGAAACTATTAACACAAATAAAGGGGAAATTATAATTGATTCTAACTATCAAACTTTAAAACAACTATAAGTTTACTAGGATCAACAAGAAATGCAATACCCAAGATAAATCTTGGGATCTAAACAAACAATTAGACTGCTTTAGTTTTAAATTAGTTTTACACAATTGATTTAACAACTTTTGAATATTACAAACATATATACTCTTATTATATCCCCTTTGAGTGAATCAAAACATCAATAATGAAATTAGTAGTCATTTCTAACATATTATAGAGAAACTTGCCCATTATCCACTTGAAAGTTGCAAAACCATTATTTAAATCAAAGAATCATGTAACAAGTTCATATAAAAACATGGTTAAATTTTTAACTTAGCATTATTTGTAACAATTGAAATTCAAGCTCATGATCACACAATTAAATTTGTCTTATCTTACACATATGCATATAGTTGTTGCTATAGACAGTGAAGATTAACTCTACTATATGATGCAAATGTAGATATGTTAATTATACACTTATTAGAGTTATAATAAATACATTGTCACAATAAGTCAACTTTCTTAAATTTCTGACCGAACTTGTGGATAATGTTAAACCTTTGGCGCCATGGAGGAATTTGATACATCGCTGTCTAGGGCTACGTCGTTTCTTTTCCATGGCGTCGCTGGATTGGCTGTGGCAAGGTGCTGCGGCAGCTCGAGCTGGAGCTAGAGACTCTCCTCCTCGGGAAGATTTTGCCATCAAGGTCGGTCTAGGGTTTCAATCCAGAGCCGGGGCAGCATCAGCCAAGAATGTTTGCTGCCTGGCATCGCTGCGCCGCCACGGCAATAGCACTAGTGGAGTCGGGCTGGGATTGGCTACTAGCAGCAGGCAAGTACGATTAGCAAGGCTGACAGCGAAGTTTAGATTCGATGATTCCGGCAATGGAGGGAAAAGAAATGGTGGTGGCACCAATGTCGGTGGAATGGTCCTCAATGCTGCAATCACTGGCGCTCTAGCGTATCTCACCGTCACTGGCAAGCTTGGATGGATTTTTGATGCTGTGATCTCTCTCTGGGTAAGAACTGAGAAGAATCGAATTCCCTTCGATTTCTTTCGCTTTCTCTTTCTTTCTTTTCTAGCCAATTTGACTTTTTTTTTTTTTTTTTTTTTGCAGCTCTTTTTCATTCTTGCCCCTCTTGTTGCTTTGGTTGCGTACTTCTGGTTTGTGGAGCGGGAGATTATTACGGGTAATGTAAGCCTCTCTTTTTGCACGCTTCAAACTCTGGATTGTCTTTCTTGCGAGCTAACGCTTTCCCAGTTCCTTTTCCTCGCAGTGTCCCAACTGTGGCAACGAGTTCCAAGTCTTTGAGTAAGTTTTCTTTAAAGTTCCTGGCACCAGGGAATCACCGTGTCAACAGATTCGCAGTCAAGGACGAGCTCCAGCTCTGCCCATACTGCACACAACCATTCAAAGGTATTAAAATCCTCCGTGCTCCTTTCGATCATGACAATTCCGATTGCGTTTCCAGTCGACAACAAAGTTTTCGTCAGAGACGGGCCGAGTTTTTATAACCCAAGCCAGCGAAACGAGACGCGGACTTCATACGTTGATGAAGATGGTATCGTTTTCTTACGCTTTTATTCGGTCCTCTAATCAAAGTCGATGTTCTCCTGGAAGATTCAAGTGGTGCGATAGTGGACGTGGAGGCTGAAGTGCTGGACGACTAAGTGGCAAAAATCGTACGGGATGTACATGGACGTGCCCTCCGTCCAGGTGTAGTGGATGCAATGAACATGGCCCTAATGTACACCTGGATCACGAACCTGGTCTCAATATCGTCCAGGTTCATTGGAAGCAAAATGATGGGATTCTGGTAAAAAAACGATTTCATGACCCGACTGCGTTTGAACTTGACTCCCTTTGACTCCAACTTTGACAAGTCAATATGAGTCGAATCGGCCGCAAATTGGACACTGGAAGTTGGAAAGTTTCAAAGCATAATCCGGAAAACATCGCTCTTGCGTGTCTGGATGAACACTGTCACTGTTTTGCTACCTGTAAGAGATACTCATAGAAATCGTTATATTACAAACTTGATGCCAGCGATATTTTAGTTTGATCCTTTAACATCCAACATACGTCCATGGAATCGATCCAAAAGCATCGGCCTTCAATAGAGCAGCCCCAGCCACAAAAAACACAAGCCCCTTTGGTCACTTTCCACAATCAGGGAGTACGGACGGCCAAGAACACGTGAACCACGCCACCCGGTCGGTACGGAAGTTCCCGGTGGCTAGTCCGTACGCGGTACGGGTAGGTCATTTGTGAAACCCCGGGAGACCTTTTAGTATTAAAAGGAGGCAGGGTATAGGGAGAGCGCAAAAACGCGTGCCCCCTTGGTCGATTGATTCGTCCAATCGATCGGGAGGGAGATTTGCTACTCCTCCTCTCGGCTCCCTGCGCAACGCGATTCGATTCCAGCGCCTTGAATGTGGGTTTTGGCGGCGATCTCCTCTTCTTTTCTAGGCTTCCCGGCGAGGGATTGATGGCGCTATAGCAAGCGAGACGCGAGATCTGTAGTGGAGCTCCACAAATCTGCCCGGTATGGTCGCGATTTCGATTCTATGCATGCCGATTGTCTTGTTCTTGGCCAGGGCCGCGCTCTCTCTAGCTCGCATTGTGCCCTGACTCACGCAAATCTCGTGCGCCGCCCGGGCTTCTTACTCACAGCTCTCCAAATCCTTTGTTCTAGGCGATTGGAGGAGAAAACCCCCGAGTTAAGGGAAAGAGAATGGTACTATGGGTTTTCGGCTATGGATCTCTGGTGTGGAGGGCTGGATTCAATTACGACGAGCGTGTTGTTGGCTACATCAAAGGCTACCAGCGCGTGTTCTACCAAGGTACTCTCGACTGCTGTGAATCGTTGTTGGCGTGATTCTAGAACTTACACGAGTTTTGTCTTTCTTTTTTTTTCCAGGTAACACTGATCATAGAGGAACTCCTGAGAATCCCGGGAGGTGTGTGACCCTTCTCCCCAAGGAAGAATCCATTTGTGTAAGAAACTCTAAAATCCTTGCTTCCGCAACTGGCAAGCACTGATGAATTTTCTTAACAGTGGGGGGCTGCGTACCGAGTTTCTGGCAAAGATTCCGAGGAGCTTGTTTTGTCGGTAGAAAACTTTTTCCCAGTCCCATTTGTTCCGCAAAGCGTTGACATTACAAGTGCGTAACAGTTTGCTGCTCTTTCGTGTTCAGTATTTGGAGCTCCGGGAGAAAGAGTATGACGTAAGAGCCTACATTGACTTTTACACAGTAAGAACCAATGAATCACACACAAAAAAAGCTTTGATCGTTCCTATAGAGCATCTCGCTGATCGGATGTTTTCGTGCTCCGTGCCGTGCAGGTGGACTCGCCAGCGCAGCCAGCCCTCCGTGGAGTTTTAGTGTGAGAATCTAGCTTTTGGTGGATTCTTCGAAGAGTACTGATTTTTCTCTTGGACTTTCATCTTCCAGATATATTGGCTCGCAGAACAAGCAAAACAATAAATACTACCTTGGTCCAGCACCGATTGAGGACATGGCCAGGTGCTTTTCGTGTTTTTCGTTCTCTCTTTTTCCCAGATAGTAGTTTTCTGACTATGAAAACGTCTTGCAGCCAAATTGCTAGAGCTGTCGGACCCTCCGGTCCAAACTACGAGTACCTGTTTCGCTTAGAGGAAGCACTCTGCGAGATTGGTAATGAAACAAGAAAAAAAAAAAATCTCTTTTTTCTCTACTGGAAAATGACAATGCGTTCCAAAAATCCAGGATGTGCCGAGGACGAACTGATTGAGCTCGCAAACGAAGTTCGCAAGCTACTCGGTGGTGCCAATGGAGCCAATGGAGTCAAGAAGCTCAATGGAATGTGCACACACCACGTCCAGAAGATTGGCAAGCAGGTGAACGGAGCTCTGGCGCACTAACAAAACAGAAGTTACGTTTTTTTGGACGAACCATACAACTATTCTTGGGGGCCAATGCTAATGGATTTGACCCCATGGATCACAGCAAAATGTTATCGACGAGGCCATTGATCAATGCCTGTTATGTACCACTTATCAAACACTGAAAAACCTCTTTGTGTAGAAACCTTTTTGTGTAGACTCTTCCATTTTGATTCTTGGAGCTTAGCTCGCTTCTGCTTGTCTCTGCCAAGGGGAAGGAATTTTAGCAGGCAGTCACGGGAATATTTGCAGCATCGCCAGAGTACCATTGGCGAATTTTCCATTTGATTGTTGGTTTCTGGAATGGTGGCAGAGCTTGGGTGGAGACGCAGCGAACTACAACGATCGAGGAAAAAGAAAGATAGAAAGATAGAAGAAGAAGAAGAAGGAAGAAGAAGAAGCACCAAACTAAAGTTTTGTAAAGTAGCTTTCGTTTGAGCGATTTTCTAGAGCTCCATCGTCCTTGGCGTGAGTAATTTTTCATTCAATCTCCAAAGAGAGGCGTTATACCACATGATTTCCATTGCTACGTTGTTGGTTTAAATTGCGATGAGAACCAGCGATGAGAAAACCAAAGAGAAAGAAGCTCTTCTTTCTTCCCATTGGAGACTGGATTTTCTCCAATGGAAGATTTTACTTCCTCTTCTTCTTCTTCTTCTTCTCCTTCGCGATTTCTTGGATTCTTCGTTCTGATCTTTGCAGCCATATGGACCCAAATCGATGCTGCCAACTTCGACTACCGGGACGCGCTGTCCAAATCCCTTCTTTTCTACGAGGCCCAGCGCTCCGGCGAGCTTCCTTCGCAGCAGCGAGTCAAATGGAGGGGGAATTCCGCGCTTGATGACGGCAGCGATGGAAATGTAGGCGAATCTTTGCGAGATTTTGTGGACTGGGAGCTACTTGCCTTTCTCTCCAGGTGAATTTGGCTGGTGGCTACTATGATGCTGGCGACAACGTGAAATTCGGCTTCCCTATGGCGTTTACAATCACAATGCTCTGCTGGGGAGCGATAGAGTATGGACGATTGATCGATGCCGCGGGAGAAATGGGCAATCTCCGCGACGCAATTCGATGGGGAACGGATTATTTCTTGCGCGCCAACACTGGATCGTCAGAGCTCTGGGTCCAGGTACGAAGAATTCGTAAGGAAATCAACGAGTGCTCTGTTCTTCCCTCTTTTCTTCTGACGAAATCGTGTGAAATTCGCGATGATCTTCAAGGTGGGTGATCCTTACAAGGATCACAACTGCTGGCAGCGTCCCGAGGACATGGAATCGCCCAGGAAATCTTACCTTATCAATCAAACATCGCCAGGAACAGAGGTGGCGGCAGAGACATCGGCAGCTCTAGCCTCGGCATCGATCGTTTTCCAAAGTTCTGATCCGAGCTACTCCACGAAGCTGCTCCAATCGGCAATCCGTGTACTGTTCTTCATCAAATTAGCTTCTCCCTTCCCATTTCTTCGCTTCTTCTCTTCTCTTTCTCGTGTGTTTGCTCTGTAGAGATTAAGCCTTGTCAATGGCAGCTCTTCCAATTTGCGGACCGGTTTCGAGGAACGTTTAGTGGAGGATGTCCATTCTACTGCTCAGTCTCTGGCTACCAAGTAAGAAACGCGATTCCTTCGTTTCTCTTGATCTTTCTATGCCTTAAAGTTTGATCATTGCGAACTCGATCAAGTAGGACGAGCTTCTTTGGGCTGCTTCATGGCTGTACAAATCTACGGGCTCGTCTATGTACCTCTCTTACGTGATCGACCATGCAGACAAAAGTGGAATCGTGAGCGAATTTAGCTGGGAAAACAAACATGCTGGTGTCCAAGTCTTTCTTTCCACGGTGAGTAGTCAAGAATTCCACATCCAGACCCTAAAGTTCAAAGAAATCCTTCTCTAATCTCTCGAGAATGCCAGCTTTACCTGAAAGGTGGTGGCTTTGATGCACTGAAGCGATACAAAGACGAGGCTGATTTCTTCTTTTGTGCAACACTTCCAAACACGTCTCAAACCCAAGTTGATAGAACCCCAGGTTGGCGGACTTTGGAAAAAGTGTGCAAGACTGTTAAAGAGAAGTTCATGTGTTATAGGTGGCTTCATATACGTGAGAAGTGGAGCCAACACACAATACTCCATCGGCGCCTCGTTCCTCGCTGCCGTTTATGCAGATTCCCTCGCGCAAGCCCAAGTCTCCAGCACGGTTTCATGCGGGAGAACGCTCCTCGGCCCGAGAGATCTTCTCAACTTCGCAAAGGGTCAAGCCGATTACATCCTGGGAGATAACCCACGCAGGATCTCCTACATGGTTGGCTTCGGCAGCTCGTTTCCACAGCAGCCACACCACCGCGGAGCTTCGATCGAATCAGTGGCCAAGCTCCACGCCCGCGTCTCGTGCGGCGAGGGATTCTACACCTGGTACAGCAGCAAATCCCCAAATCCAAACGAGCTCACGGGCGCGATCGTTGGAGGCCCCGATAGAGACGATAGCTTTGTGGATCTTAGGTCTAACTCGGCTCAGCTCGAGCCCACAACTTACGTGAACGCTCCCTTCGTTGGGCTGCTCGCAAGACTAACGGCCCAAATTTAAACTCCCAAGTCTCAGATGAAAAACCTAATTCCATATAGGTCGTACGGAGGATCTTATCGAGTTATCTTAAAGGTAGTAAAGATGGTTTTGCGAAAGATCTTGGCTAAACCTCTAAAACCCTATACCCTTGATGACCTAATCGCATTAGGTCTCGAGCGCGCCGGGAGAGATGGGGAAATACAGCGCCTTGTATCAGTCCGCGGGCGCCACAGCAGGGATGTTCTTCCTGTTCCGCCGCGCGCCCACGGCGATGGCGGAGAAGAGTCAGGATGAGAGCGTGGTGCAGCAGCGCGAGGAGTATTCCAAGCCCCGGAATGATAATCCCAGGACCACTGCTGCTGGCTTCGATCCGGAGGCGCTGGAGCGAGGGGCCAAGGCGCTCCGGGAGATCAATAGCTCCCCGCATTCGAAAAAGGTTTGGCATTTTTTCCCCTCTCCTCTCGATCTTCATCGATCGGACTCTCTTTTCCTTATAGGTGTTTGAGCTAATGAGGAAACAAGAAGATAGTCGGCAAGCGGAAGAAGCGACGAGGAGAGCCGAATTTCAAGCAGTTCAAGCCCAGCACGAGACTGTAAGTTCTTTCTTCAAGCTGAAGTTTTTGGAAGCAAAAGTTTGTCCGGTGCTGATGCGGTGATTTCTTGCAGGATAGACAACGGGTGATGTACGAGGAGCAAAAGAAGCTTGTCCAACAGCAAGCGCAGACTAAAGCTCAAATCTCGCGCTACGAGGACGAGCTCGCGAGGAAAAGAATGCAGGTGTGATGTGTCCGTTCGGTTTTTGACTTCCACGGTTCTTATGGGATTTTGTCGCAGGCAGAACACGAAGCCCAACGAGCGAGGAACTCGGAGATGGTGAAGATGCAGGAAGAGTCTGCCGTTCGCCAGGAGCAAGCGAGGCGATTGACGGAGGAGCACATACAAGCGCAGCGTCGCCAGACCGAGAAGGAGAAAGCCGAGATTGAAAGAGAAACCATTCGCGTGAGAGCTTTGGCGGAGGCCGAGGGACGTGCTCACGAAGCCCGGCTGGCGGAGGACGTCAACAAGAGGCTTTTGGTCGAGCGAGCCAACTCCGAGAAGGAGAAGTGGCTGGCTTCGATCAACACCGTCTTCACTCATATCGGAGGTGAGAGCTTCTTTCTAGCCAGGCATTGTACGGTCAGATCTTACGTGCTCTCGTTTTGTAGGTGGTATCAAAACGCTTTTGACGGACCAGGATAAGCTTGTAGTTGCTGTTGGTGGAGTAGTAGCAGTGGCCGGCGGTGTCTATACAACTAGGTATGCAAAAGCTTTTCTCCTTCTTAGCAGAGACTAGATTCAGTTTTCTTTGTTTCTTATAACAGGGAGGGAGCTCGTGTTCTTTGGGGTTACGTAGATCGAATTCTCGGCCAACCGTCTCTTGTTCGCGAGTCTTCACGAGGAAAGTATCCATGGTCGGGACTATTTTCTCGTAAGACTGTAATGCCATGGGCCAAGACTCCAGCCGACCCGAAAAGCAGCAATGGCTTTGGAGAAGTTATTCTCCCTCCGACGTTACACCAGCGGATTAGGCAGCTCGCGTTCGCCACTGCTAATACAAAGGAGCATCAGGCTCCGTTCCGGAATATCATCTTTTACGGCCCTCCTGGAACGGGGAAAACCATGGCTGCTAAGCAACTAGCGAGGCACTCGGTACGTTGTTTAATGGTCTGGTGGTTTTTAAGCTGAGATTTGTTTTGGATCCAGGGTCTCGACTATGCTGTCATGACCGGAGGAGACGTCGCTCCACTTGGTCCTCAAGCCGTCACAAAGATCCACGAGCTGTTTGGATGGGCATCGAAGACAAGGAGAGGATTGCTGCTGTTTATAGACGAAGCCGATGCTTTCCTATGCGAGTACGTGATCTCCTTACCTTTAAGCTTTTCTGCTTTCTCTTTGGCTGATGATTGTGAGCTTCATGCAGGCGCAACAAAACCCGGATGAGTGAAGCCCAGCGCAGTGCTCTCAACGCGATTCTATCACTCACTGGTGACCAATCCAGGGACATCGTGCTGGTGCTCGCTACAAACCGTCCGGGAGACCTTGACGCGGCGGTGCTGGACAGGATCGACGAGATACTCGAGTTTCCACTTCCAGGACTGGAGGAGCGAGAGAAGCTCATACGCCTCTACCTGGACAAGTACATCGTCCAAGCGGGGGAGGGCGCCAAAGGCTGGAAGCAGTACGTGGCACAGCAGCACAAGATCGAGATGAAGGACGTGAGCGACGACGTGATTCGAGAGGCCGCGGAGATGACGGAAGGATTCTCGGGGCGAGAGATTGCCAAGCTGCTAGCCAGCGTCCAGGGAGCGGTCTATGGAAGCAAGGACAGCGTTCTCACCGCGGAGGAGTTCCGGAACGTCGTAGCGTGCAAGGTTTTGGAGCACCAGAAGAGAAAAGAGCTCGCAGACTCGGGTGGTGGAGACTAACAACAGCATCAACACCAACAGGTTCTCTCGTAGTTTTCCCGGAGTGTTCGTTTTTTTCTCTCGTTTTACAGCAGCAGCAATTTTGTGAGCAGCAGCAGGGCACAGTTTTCTAGCTTTTTCGATCTAAGTTCTCAGGAAAGGTTTCTATCAATCGCGGCGGGCTCTTGACTTTAACTTTGAAAGAGATCCAGGTGTTCTTAGATTGATTTTCTTCTTTGGGTCTCGGAGTTTTTGATATGGGTTTTCTTTTAGAATGTCTGGCAATGGCTCTCTCCTTCCAGATCGCTGCCTCGGCCGCTACAACTCCTCCAAGTTCTTCGCTTTCCTCTTCTAGGAAACCTAGGCTCTCTCCGGTGATCTTGGTGCCTGGAGCTGGAGGGAACCAGCTGGAAGTTAAGCTTGGTGGAGATTATCATGGTAGTCGCTTTGTGTGTAGGACTTTTGGGTTCTCGCATTGGTTCCGGCTATGGCTCAATGTTCTTGGCATCATTCCTCCATTCACACCATGCTTTGCCGAGAGGATAAGGCTCGAGTACAATGGCGGGAGTAAGAAGTTTCACAATCCTCCTGGGATCACGACCAGAGTTCCTGGGTTTGGTTCCACCGAGACGATGGAGTACCTCGATCCAACCTTCAAGTAAGTTTTTCCATCATTTTCTCTTAGTTAGTCTTCCTACATTCTTGCGTTTTTCTCTTAGTTCTTTGGTAGAAGTTCTCTCTTGCTTCTTACACAAAGTTCTTTTGAAGGTTTCTTTTGCTTGTTTGCTCTCGCCATAGCTTCCGCCCAAGCAAGAAGTCTTTGTTTCGTTCGTGTTTTCATAGATTTAGTTTGATTGATACGAGCTGGTTTTCTTTCCAGGTTTCTATCTGGCTACATGAATTCTTTGGTGGCAGCACTGAAAGCCAAAGGCTACGAGTCCCAGAAAACTCTCTTTGGAGCTCCATACGACTTTCGCTACGCTCCGGGGCCAAACGCAGCGGAAGTGGCACTCCAGTTCCTCCAAGACTTGAAAAACTTGGTGGAGAAAGCCTCGAGATCAAACAAGAACACGCCAGTGACGCTAATCTCTCACAGCCTCGGTGGTCTCTGGGTGCTCCACTTTCTCAACTTACAGAGCTCCACCTGGAAGAAGAGATTCATCCATCGCTTCATCGCAGTGTCAGCTCCATGGGGTGGCTCCGTCCAAGAGATGCGAGTCTTTGCCTCTGGATACACCGAAGGGGCCAACTTTCTGGATCCTCTCGTGCTGCGAGACGAGCAAAGGAGCAGCGAGAGCAACCTTTGGCTGCTGCCATCGCCCAAAGTTTTTGGAAACAAGACGCTGGTGGTGGGATCGTCAAGGAATTACACGGCGACGGATCTGGAGGACTTCTTCCACGATATTGGGTACTCGAGGGGATACGAGCACTACAAGACGAGAGTTCCCGGACTCTTGGAAGAACTGGCTGCTCCAGGGGTTCCAGTGAGCTTGGTTTTTGGCGTTGGAGTGGACACACCGGAGACTCTGGTGTATGAGAAACAGGGATTTGATTACCAGCCCAAGATGGAGTATGGAGATGGAGACGGGACGATCAACTTGTGCAGCTTGAGATGGGTGGTGGATTCGTGGAAAAAAGTCGGGGACCAACAAGTAAAGGTGGTGGAACTTCAAGGGAAGACACACACGACGGTTTTGAAGGACGAGGATGCAGTGGAAGAGATTGTCAAACAATTAGGTGATGTCGAAGGACAAAACTTAAGTTCATAGTGGACGTTTACCTTGATTACCGTTTTTTAGTACAAAGTATAGGTCTTAGGGTTTAACTCGAGGTGTTTTTCTTCTAAGCAAAGAATGTGCGATCGGTGGCTCAGTTTTTTCGAAGATCCAACCCTCTGGTGGGACAACAGAGGCAAGAATGTAAGCCTCTTCTTGATCTTGTTTTGTAGAAGTTAGTGTTGGTTTTCTCCTGCTTGCAGTGGAAAGGGTATCCAGAATTTAAGCACTCAGTTTCTGGTGAAGGGCTCTACATAAGTTCCTGTCCAGAGTCTCTGAAGGCCAAGCTTGAATCTTTGGGAAAACCCCCCAAAAGTTGTTCTAGCGGTGTCCGAGCAGCTTTTGTTGGAGGAGTGACCGGAGCTGTCAAGGTGTTGAATTCTCAAACAGCCCATGAAGCGCACCCCCAGAACCGGCACACAAGCAGCATTCAGCGAGAAAAAGCTCCCACGCTTTCCATTACACAAGACGAAGCTCCACCGAGAAAGCAGCTAAGTGCGCACTTCGAAGCCAGGAACCAGGTTTTGGCGGAGCTCAAACGATGCAACGATCCAGCGAAAGGAAGGGAGCTTCACTTCAGAGCTGCGAGCGAGCATCTCCTCAACAAGTACGTAGCAACAGCGGTAATCACCATGTACTCGAGGTGTGGTAAGCTGGAGGACGCTCGGAAGGTCCTGGACGAAAACCGCAAGATGCTACACGGTCATGTCGTTGCATGGAACGCTATGATCCTTGGTTACGCGCAGAACAACGAGAACGAGCTCGCCCTGGAGCTGTTTTCGTGCATGCCTGACAGATCGGGCTGCGAGCCGGATGCGAGAAGTTTTGTTGCGGCTCTCAAGGCTTGCGCGGGCTTGGCGAGCAAAGAGGAGCCCAAGCAGGTCCAGGGACGGGCCGTGAAGAGGATGGCTTTGGAGAGAGGCGTGGAGATCCATGCCCAGGCTGAGGAGCGGGGATTTGCGAGTGACATCTTTGTGGCGACAACGCTGGTGGATATGTACGCCAAATCTTGTGACCTGCCCCGTGCTCGCGCGGTGTTTGACAAGATCTCCGCACCGAGGAACATCGTGACTTGGAACGCATTGCTCTTGGGATACGTCGAAAACGGCAGGAGCGAGGCTGCTCTGGAGCTCTTGAGCCGGTGCCGTCTCGAGTGCGAGCTGAATGCTACGAGCTACGCTGTGGCTCTCAGAGCTTGTGGCAATGTCATGGGACTGGAACTCGGCAGGGAACTCCACAAGGAGATCAAGATGAACCATCAGCTGCGGAACAATCCGGTCGCGGGCACTTGCGTTGTGGATTTCTACGCAAAGTGTGGCGCCATGTGGGAAGCTCAGGAAGCTTTCGACTCCATTCCTGAGAGCTCGAGAGACTCGGCCGCTTGGAACGCGCTTCTTTCAGGGTATAGCCAACAAGGAGACTACGAGAGTGTGTTATCCCGGTTTCAAGCCATGGATGCCAAGGGCCTGGTTAATGGTATCACCATCATCTTCGCGCTCACCGCTTGTAGTCACACCGGAAGTATTGGACTGGCGAAAGACCTGTTCGATGGACTCCGGCATCTGGTTTACGGCGTGGCTCCGACTCTGGAGCACTTTACGTGCATGGTGGATTTTTACGGGCGGGCAAATCTCTTTGATGAAGCACTGGAGCTGATCAAGAGCATGAGAGACGATCACGGCCTGGAACCCGATGTTATCCTGTGGAGGACGCTGCTTGGGGCGTGCCGGAAGTGGAAGAAAGTTGACGTAGGGAGGCTGGCGTTTGAATCGCTGCTGAAATTGGACAAGGAGGTGTCCGCGGCTTACGTGCTCATGGCGGGGATCTATGCGAGCTCTGGAATGCTGAAGGAGAGGGACGAGGTTTTGAGGGCAAGGAAAGATGTGAGGGCGTGGAAGAAGCCCGGGCAGACATGGTGGACAGATGACAAAGGGAAAGTTCACAGTTTTGTGGTGGGTCGCAAAGATCACCCGCAGTATCGAGACGTTGCATGCAAGGTTGACGAGGTTATGGGGAAAATCAAGGTGGAAGGTTATGTGGCCGATATCAATGGTGTTTTTCCCAGTGATGAAGGTGTTGCCAAGGAAGATGCCTTGTGTGGGCACAGTGAAAAGTTGGCTATTGCATGTGCCTTAATCAACTCCAAGCCTGGGACAACTATAAGAATCGTGAAGAATCTCAGGGTCTGTGATGACTGTCACAATGCCACTGCCAGAATCTCTAAGGTTGAGGGCAGAGAAATTGTATGCAGGGATGCTAGCCGACTGCACGTCTTTAGAAATGGCATCTGCTCATGCAACGATTATTTCTGATCGTGATCACAGATTTACCTGTCAATAGTTTTTCCACAACATTCTCTGGTGCCGATTTGTAGAGAAACATACCTCATCTCCATTTTGCATTCTATTAATACAATATTACTGTTTCAAGTTGCAAATGTGTTAGAAACGATTTTCTGCGTCGTTGACACTGCTAGTGTCCTTCAGTTTTCCATGGCGCATAGGAATAAAGCTGTCATCGCTGCTGCGTCTGTGGTGCTTATGAAAGCTTGGGGGAAGAAAAGACGCATGTCGGCTGGACAGTCATAGATGACGTGAGACAGGGTTTCCGTCCCTGGGCAGCATCGCGCCTCCCTGGGTGTCCCTCTTCGGCAGAGTTCAATGTGTAATGAGTGAGCCCAGTTACCAGAAGTCGGTAAACTGATAAAGACCACTTGACTCTCCTCCCCTAATCCCAACAGGCTCCTTTTCCATCACACCAGCTTGACTGAAAACTTTTCAAGCATATGCCCAGTTTTGCATGCTTTCAAGCGAATGCCTCAGAGTGATGTGGTGTCGTGGGCAATTGCAATCGAAGCTCTCATCGCCGACAGTGACAAGAGCCCGAGAAGCATGAGCTCCATCTATTGGAGTATGGTCGCCCAAGCCACTATGTCCCACCTCTCACCCATCATCCTCTCACCCTCTCACCCTCTCACCCAGCATTTTTTTGCAGCAATGAAGTCCAAGCAATCACATCTATCACTGGCTATCGATCAGAACGAGATTTGGTAGGCTTCCATGCTGTATTATTTGAGTCCATCATCTCTTTGGTCAATGGCTCGGTTCTAGTAATCAGTTCTATCTTATGGCTTATTAACTAATGGCTAGAGGGGTCAGGTTGATCAAGCAGCATTCTTTGTTTGGATTGGTTGCATAATACTTGATAGAGCGTTTTCCACAATCTTCCATGGGGTATCAGTACATCATTATTACATTTGATTACTTTGCTTGGTGGATGTTTTACTTGATGGAATAGCCAACTAAACTGCACAATTCTTGATGCAAATGGTTGTTTTTACAGCTGTCCTAAACTCATTTTGTCTGAAATCTACCTTTGACAGCTTTAAAGGCATTCTCCCATTTGAATTAGTTGTATAATACTTGATGGGGCATTTTCCACAATCTTCCATAGAGTATCAGTATAATATCATTACCTTACTAGATGGATGCTTTACCTGATGGAATAGCCAACTCAATTGCACAATTCTTGATGCAAATGGTTGTTTTATGTTATAACTGTCCTAAATTCATAAGGCCCAGGGGAAGCTTTAAAGGTATTGATGGAATAGCTCACCATTAAGCAATTTTCAGATCATCTTGAAATAGATGGCCTTCCACAATTCAATTGTATTTCAAGTTTATTGGCAATCTTGAATTTTCAAAGTCCATTGCATCTTGACTTTTAGTGCCTTGTTTGAGCTTATTTTGCCTCTTACTATCACTCACTCCCACTCTATCCAGAGGGGAGAGCATGGTTAGAGTACTTTTATCGCGTTCTTCCATCTTTATAGCTTTGGCTCAGGCTAAGGATTACCAACAGACTTATTACACCAAATGTACTCAGCCTGTAGAACAATACGAGTTAAAATCAAAGCCAGTTGCCACCGCACCAGCAGTATCAAATAGTGCTGATGGTAGAGCGGGATTAGGAGACACTGAAAAAGATGATAGAGAAGGGTGCAACCTTGCCGAGCTGGTTGAGCCTGGCAATGGCTTCGTCCATGAGAGTTTTGATGGCATCTAGCAGCTCTCAACTAGCCAAGCATTTTAAAACTTGTTATTAAGCTAAAGTATTCTAAACTAACATGACTATTCATACATATTTTGTTTTGGCAGTCTCACAGTGCCTAACCAAGAAGCATGAGACCGTGCAAACAAATTTCCCCGCCCGGCCGCTATGAGGTCCTTACTCCCGCCGCACTCCCTCCTCCCTTTCTCGTCCCAGGAGGGGTCCCTTTGTGTCTGCCACTCACAATCTGGCTATATTTTTAGCCTCCAAGGCGCAGCAGGCCTCACTTTTGCTCTTTTACTTTGCTCGCGTCGCGGGGCCTCTGAGGAAGCAGGAGACTGATGGGTGCAAGAATGCTGTCTTAATGATATTTGCTGCCGTTCTTTCTTCCTCGCCTCTATATCCACCTCCGGATGTTCGCTCGGTTGTTGTTGTGTTCACTTCAGCCACCTCTCCTTTGTTTGCGTCTGTCGGTTGGATGCTTCCGCCCCTGGGTCGTTTGCGTTGTCTGTTCTGCATATATTGTTTCCTTTTATTTGTGGCTTCCATGGTGAGTAGCCCATGCGTTCTCCGTGTAATGATTGTTTGACGGCATACTGGACCAGTTCACTGATCTGCTGTGTTGCTTGCAGGATTTGATGTGTCTCCAGCTCCCAGAGAGCCTCGGGGTGACATAGATCGTGATATGCTGAGCATACTTTGGAAATGTGTGCAACCTCTTCACAACAAACTGGGTAAATCCGTTGGTCCTGCAGAATTGGCGGTTGTTCTCTGCGTCCAAGTTCCATGAGTAGGTGGTGACTCCCCATGCGGTATCGTGCCAGTGTTCTGTACACCATGGGGCCGAAGATTTCGGTTAACCGAGTCTTGGTAGATGTTGTACTTGGTCTTTTTCCTCGGGCACAGCCATTTGACGAGAGCTATCTGTGTCCATCCATGACTCCAATTCTTCCGGGTAGACTGCTGTGAGGATCTCCAAGTCGAAGCCAAATCTTGTGGTCCACTCCTTTCACATCGTGTCACCATCTTTTGTGAGTTTCTTGATCAAGAGCGTCTACCAGTTTGTCCAAGTGGGAGAATCTGCTTTTCTGAACATATACAATGGCCCTGTGCCATGCAAGGATCTCTCATGGTAACAAGCCCGACTCCATGACCATGATTGCATAACATGTAGTATGCTTGTTGGGCTGCTTTCCTCCGCTCCATCACTCCTGCTGCCCAAGGCTGAGTGCGATGAATCACATAGCCGAGATATTTGTATTCCTTCTCATGCGATCGAAGCTTATAAGATCCAAATAAGATAGAATAGAAGACGGCAGCAACGAAGCAACGATGAAGATGCAAATGAGACGGAGCAAAACACGACGTCTAAGTCTTTCCCAAGACTTAGTCTTAATTACCATTAGCATTTAAGATGGTCATATTTGTCGTTCGTGTCAGATCCACGGAAGAGGAAGCTAGCTAATTGGAAAACCTCGCAACAAGGAGATGGAGGAAGTTGCGATAGTGTCCAGCGAGTTCGTCGGTCCGGCCAAGGCTTTCGATCATCCACCAAAATTCGAGCTTTCCACTTTCGATCGCCTCATGGGGTATGCCGGATACCAGAAAAGAATGCTCTTCTACAAATCGGCACCCGAGAATGTGGAGGATCTGCTCAAGAGCAGCCTCGCGGAGGCCCTCGTCCCCTTCTATCCATTCGCGTCGCGCATGCGTGCCGGCGATGGAGTCTCGACCCCTGCTCTCGAGCTCGATTGCTCCTCTGTAGATTTCAGCGCCAAATTCACTGTTGCCACGACCAAGAAGTCGCTGGCCCAGCTTGGATTCTTCGAGCCCTGCGAGTTCTGCGACACGCTTTGCCAGATTGGGAGCCCTCCACCGGCATATCCCTGGAAAATCGAGGATCCCCTGCTCTTTGTCCAGGTATGGTAGTTGCCACTGATTCGTCCATCATCGCTTACAAATCCTGTTAGATCACACGATTTGGATGTGGAGGAGTGAGCCTGGGAGTGGGATTCAGCCACCAGGTAGCTGATGGAGTGAGTTTCTGGCATTTCATGACCTCCTGGGCAGAAATCGCTAGAACGGGCCAAATGATCTCCGCTCCCCCGGTGATCTCTTACAACTACAAGGGATTGGAGCTGAGCGAGGAGGAGCACATGAGAAACGCGGTGGGATATTGGGGAGCAGAGATCGTCCCTAGCGTGGAGAAAATGCCCCTCGTCGTACCCAATTCGTCACCCATGGCCACCCGGCAGTACCGATTCGATCGCTCCGCCATCGCGGAGCTCAAATCCCGGGCGGCGGCTGGCAGCAGCGACGCTCGATTCAGCACCTACGTCGCCCTCTGTGCGGAGTTCTGGCGGAGAACGGTCATCGCTCAGGGATTCCCGGATTCGCAAACTGTCAGGTTCTTCGTCCTCGCCAGTTGCCGCGGGCGCATCGCTTCCATCCCCACCTCCTACTTTGGCAACGCCATCTGCGGATTGTTAGCCATTGCCAGCGCCGGCGATCTCAAGAACAGGGGGCTTCCATTCGCAGCTCGGACCATCCACGACGCGATCCAGGCTTTCGATGGCGCCAGGGTGGAGAGTGCCTTGAGCACCATACTTTGGATGATCCAGGCCCCTCGCCCGGTTCGAGTGACGCCGTTTGGCCAGGCGGTGAGCTCCAACCAGCACCCGGTGGAGAAATCGGAGTTTGGATTTGGGAAACCGTGCGGGATCACGTTTGGGACGAATGATCTTCACGAAGGGAAGATCTATCTCTTCCCATCCAGCGATGGCGGCGTGGTCGTCACGGTGGTGCTCAAGGAAGAGAACATGAAGAGGATGATCCAACAAGACGAGGACCCCTCCATTATTTAAGATAAATTGTTTATCTTTAATAAAACTTGCTTAGCCACGTAGGCAGAATATTATTTCCGTACGATATCATTGGCGAGGGTTTTCAATTGTGAGGCGGCAGCACGGCCTATGGCGCGCTTGATCGTAAGTTCTCGTGGGAATTCGAGGGATTTGATCGATGGGCGCGTGTTTCCAGGTGAAATTCAAGGCGCTCATCCTCCCCAAGCCTAGGCGCAGCTTGTAGACGCGATCGTGGAAAGGTATAGGAGTCTCTAGGAATTGATCTGAGCTCTAGGTTTCTTCTTTCCAGGGGCAATGGCTATGGTTTTTCATCCGATTATTAACGACACAGAAGGGTATAGACCAGTGAAGTACTTTGTAACAGCGAGACCTTGGCTGGGTAAGCGTACTATTCTTTGCTCGAGAATTGAAGCTCTACATTTTCATCTTTTTTTATTCTTTTGCTAGATCTTTACGGTACCAGAATACGTCCTGTTGCTCAAAGCTACCAGATCGAACTCGATCCTTCTCTATTGCATCGGAAACTTTCCGAAGATATACTTCATGAGGTTTGTGCCATTTTTCTTCGTTTGCTGTTCTAAGGGTGCTGCTCACAGATTTTTATGCGTCTGTCTCCCTACACGCTGGGAAAGGCGTCGTGTGTGTGTAGAAAGTGGCGATATGCTATTCGCAATCCCGTCTTTTGGCGCTTGGCATGCTTAAAGACATGGCAGGCAAGAGCACTTCTTTTCTCTCTCCATGTTTTTACGTGACTTTGCTGTGATGACCTTCCAGCTTCATGGTGTCGAAGGAAACAGAAAGATATTGAGTCAGAACTACGATGGCTCTTGGCGAAAAATGTGGCATCATCGTCCCAGGCTTCGGTTTGATGGTTTCCTTGCAGTTACTCTTTAAGATCTTCGAGTGACTGACGTGCTTGTCCCAGGTATTTATGTGAGCCGCAACACTTACATTCGCGCCGGTGTTGCTGAATGGAAGGTTACGAATCCAGTTCATCTGGTAAGATGATCTATTCCCGTTTTGGATGAACTTATGGCTTTTTTTCTCGTCGTTCCAGGTCTGCTACTACAGATATATTCGTTTCTTTCCGAATGGAAGGTTCCTCTACAAGGTAGCGAAGTTCCTCTACACATTTTCTCGGAGCTTACATCCTTTTGTGCTTTAGAATACTGCGCTGCGGCTTAAGGAAATCGCAAAGACAATGAATCGGCGCGCTACAAAGGAGAACACTTACGGGGGACGGTACACGCTCGCACAATCCCAGGCAATGAAATACGTGCTCCCTTTTCCTTTATCTGAATCGCCAGAGTTCTTTTGTAGGTGGATGCGGCCGTGGTTTATCCGGGGCTACGGCCTACAGTGCTGAGAATTCGCCTCAAGTAAGATTGAGTTTGTCAAAGATCTTTCTTCATGGTTTTGTTTTGCAGAATTCGTAGTACTACTCCAGGTGCAAACAATCGACTGGATTTGCTGCTGCTCGTCACCAGTGGCCTGGACGACATCGAAGTTAGCACCGACGAGGAAATCCTGAGCTCCGTGGAGAACTGGGAGGAAGACGAGAGCCACAACCCGAATGTGCCTGCCGTGACTCACAAAAAAGGATTAGCGCCATTCGTGTTTGTTCCATTTGAAGAGGTATACGGTTCTCTCTATTCTTCTTCTTTGATCATCGTTGTGATTTTCTTTGGAAGGTTGAGACGTCGGTGCTGAATTTACCAGTGGACACCATGGATTTTTACCTTCCTGGGTAAAAAGAAGTCATGTAAAAATGCGCATAAAAGGCTTAACAGAATATCTCAAAAATTGTACTGTCGCATTTGAATTTGCAAAATAAAAAAAGTATATATAAAGAATCGACTCCACTGGGGATCGAACCCAGAATCTCTGGTTCCGTAGACCAGCGCCTTATCCATTGGGCCATGGAGTCACATTGTTTTTAGTTCTCGGGTTTCTGCTATTGAGGGCAAATCTTTAGGTTCTTGGCTATGGAGATTGATCGCGTCAAGCCACAATGCGGCGACGACAAGACGCGGGAGGCGGCGATCGAAGCTGAGGTCGATCGAGTGAAAAAGCTGCCGCGATCAAGCGCGTATGCGATCCATCGTCTCAAGGTCCTGGGCAAAATGCTCGATCTTCTCAAAATCCCACGCCAGGTGAGCAGCGAGGGACGCGTTTCTTTTTGCCCTAATCTCGTCGCGCACCTGCCAGGACCGGACTTCCACGGAGGCGGATGATCTTGAGCGATTGTTCGCGGAGCTGGCGTTTTGAAAGTATCATACATGGGAGGAAAGGTCTTTCTATTTTCTCCTGCTCTTTCTTCTTTCTTTGTGTTTGGGTACATGAAAGTGATGGAATCGATCAAAACGTCGACTTAGAAAAATCTCTGGAAGCATCATGATGTCTACGCCATCGCTGGGAAATGGATGTGTAGCAACGTTGGAATCACTCGTAGCTTGGGCTCGCCACCACAGCCATCATCCGGAAGATCCTTGGGAAAGGTGCGATCGGCTCCACCGGCAACAGAGAAACGATTCTGTGAACTTCATTGGTCGACAAGTGCTAAGCTACTACGAGGACTCTTGCCACTGACGAGAATAAAAATGGCTTTTTCTTTTCATTTTTTGTTTTCTTCTCTCAAAAGCTCAAAGCTTTTACGACGCGCGTCATCTTTAATGGTGTCCTCGGACGAATCAGAAAATGCACTAATGTTAATGTTTTAGATCAATTTTACTATGGATTTAAGGTGGAATAATTAAATAAATAAATCTCTTATAACATAAGCTCAGACTCAAACCAAAGTATATAGGTGAGTGAGATTTTCTCAAATCATTAAAATCATATACTTTTGCTAACAAGTGAGTCTAAGTTGAAATATAAACAAATCTATATCATTTTGCCATTTTATTACAAATGAATATATCATCATTCTTAGATTTTACAGCATTAAATTTAACTTATAATAATAAAAGTTCTAAAAAAATCGATTCTAGACATTTATGAATAAACACCTGCCAATACCAAGAAGGGAATTTAAGTTTTTGCTCAAATTCCCATCCGAATAATTTAATTTAAAATATAAATTTAAAAAATTAATAAAATTTTTATTTACCATATTTAAAATTTTCATTTAATTAAATTGATATTGATGAGAGGTTTCCTTCCTATTAAGCCAATAGTGTCGATTGACATATTTTGCAAGAGTTTTGCTTTTAACTTCAAAATACTTGCAAAAATAAAAGATTATTATTAAAAATATTTATTTTTAAAACAAATAAACTAAAATATTTCAGCTCTAAAATTAATTATTTAGGATTAATTTTACAATAGTAAATTTTAAAAGAGGGTTATAATCACAATATCATACATTAAAACTTCTCACAGAAATTGTACTAAAATTTATTAATTTTATTTTTTATAAAATAATTATTTTAAAACTTTATTAATAAAATATTTTTGACTATAGACACATTCAAATTATTTTTTTACTAGTAAATAAATGTTTTCACCATTATTGTATATTAAAGATTCACTTAATATGACCTAAAATATATCTATATTTATGAAAATATTTGTAAACTAAATACACATACTTTAATATATATTTAAATGGATATAAATATATTGTGTAATTAACCTTATACTTTATTTATAGCATAAAATTACTATTTTTAGTAGTTTAGTGCAACAAAGAATAGTCACATTTTAGATTTTATATTTCAATCATGAAAAACTCAAAAACAATATGAATATACAAAAAACATTTTTTTAAAGATTTAGTAGAGATACATTATGATTTTAATTTTTCTGTTATTAAATTTATTAACCTAAAAATCTTTAAGTGTGAATTTTGCTAACATTAAAAATTGCACATAAAATGAAATTTAAATAAAACTTTAGACACATAAATAATTTTTAAAAATTTTATTAATATTTATGTAAAGTTTGAATATAAAAAAATATAATACAAACTTGCTAGGTAAATCAAAGGTTTTAAAATGGTTGAATAGGTTATGTTCTAAGTTGATATACAAATAAAATGAATTTACTTTTAAAGTTACAATATCAAAAGTTATTTTAAATCATAATCAACCTTTTAGTTTTTTCTTATATAAACAATCAAAGTTGAGTAGCATAGTTTTAAATTTTTAAACAATTACCTTCCAAACTTCTATAACTAAAATTATCAATCATTTTTATCTTTTATATTTTACTTAACATGTTGTGAATGCTCCAAGATATAGGAATAAATATATTAATTGAGGTTTAAATCACAATAATGGATGGACTATATTCAGTCATAAATGGACAATCCATATGCTTTAGTATTATAATTAATGTATTACCTAGGCAGAGTAATATATGTATTTACAAACCTTACACTATCTACCCCTTCGGAAGATGAAAAAATGATAAAAATAAATTAGGTGGAATATTTAGAGCTTCTGCTAGATGATTACAAACTACCATAAAAATCCGAAGCTCCCACAAAATCACTAACAAAGTTGTGAACAACTATAAGTGAAATAAAACCCAGAGCCATGGCAAAAGCATTTATAAAATCTTGATGAATCAATTGCAATTCCATATGTAACTGTTAAATGCTCAAACTAATATTGAAGTCATAGTTTTGAACCAAAATTTTTTTTTTTAAAAGCCATTATAGTCCATAAATATTATTGCAACAAATAATATATCTTGTCTGTAAGTTTATTTGTTGACGATTTTCCAAGACCACTATTAATTTAAACTCATGACTATAAACAAAACCCACCTTTATGTCTTCACTTTGGTCAACATTCATGACTTGTATTAACTTAAACTCACTACCATTATCCTTGTCTGACACTGCACATGGGAAGTTGGATTCACTTTGTTATCCTTTTTATCTCTTTTTTAAAGGAAAAAAGGTCTAAAGCACTAGCTTTATTTAAATTTGTTATGCTCGTCCTCACTCCACCATTTATGTTTGGCTTCACTTTATTATTGTATTTGTTTAACTCACTATATCATGGCTGAATGTTTCATTTGAACTCACTATATTCATCCTCACTCCATAATCAATATTGTTCATCTTCACTCCACTATTATATTCACTCATCCTCACTCTATTGTTGGGGCCAAACTCCCATCTGTCCCCTCTACCCCCTCCTCTGAAGAAAAAAATGTTTGAAGTGTCGGGGCATAAAGGGGAAAATAAGAAAATTTGAGGAAAAACAATTATAGAAGAAAAAAAGGTGAATAAAAATGCATCAAAAGAGAAATTTACAGCAATTAACAATACAGATATATGGAAATTAAAAGAAAGACATGTGCTCAAAACTTGGAAAATAAAGGACTTCCTATCATAAAATAATTCAACCACCACATTATAAGCAAAAGATTCACACCATTCAACTTCCTCAACACACAACTCAATATTTGAGACAAAAAAATCAATAACAATGTCCATATGTTCAAAAGAATACATAAATTCTTTAACAACAACGGTAAAGTAAAGGCTCTCAATAGCACTCATAAATAAGGATTCATACTCAACCCAAAATTATAGCTAAAGTGACTTAACCCTTGGAATAGGGGAATACTCAATACTAAAATTGATCAAAGACTTTACTAATAAAACAAAAACAATTTTCTTAACTTCATGTATATACTCAACATTCAAATTAGTATGAGAAGGACAAAATACACTCAACTTAATATTGAGAATGAGAATTATAAGAGTCATAAATGATTGACATGCTAGGAGAAGAAAACATTGCAAATGAAGAAGAAATATTAGAAATATGATAGAAATATGGTTTAGGCCAAAAAATAAAAAAATGTTAAAAAAGAGTAGAAAGTAAAGAAAAAAAATTAAATGCCAAATTGAAAGATTGATATCTACCCCATGAAATTTCCATTTCATCTCCGAAATTACTTCTATAATAATGAACCTCGTCAAAATGATTTGGAATCTATTCAAGCTTATACATATTGTCTTCCTATAAACTTGATTTTTGAACATTCTCTAAAAACTAGATTGCATCATTTATAGCTTGTCAATGATGTCACAATCATATTCCACATTAAGGAAAGATGGCAAAACACCAAGAACAAAATAAGCCATATAATCATATCCTATAAAAGTTGGAGATGGCAACACACCAGGACTAACATTATCACACCTTGCAACATTAAAAGTTTAATTCAATGGAGTAGCATTTATAGCCTAAAGTGATATATTACTTGATCAATAATAATGTGGCATAACAGGGAAGAGAATGCAAAGAAAAAGTAAATCTAAACATAACAATAGTTAAAATTCTAAATCTTGCAAAAAATTAATATAAATCTAGATCTAAAAGAAAATGAAGAAATAAGAACAAAAAGCACAATCCAAAACACTAAAGCAAAGCATTATTAACAAGTTTTGCCCTTCAAAGACAAATTACAATGCCCTTCATCTCCACCAATGTGAATGCTTGAGTGGGGTTTAGACCCCTATTTATATACAAGAATGGATGGCCGAATTCAATCTCAAATAAACAGTCTATATGCTTTAGTACTATAACTAATGTATTATTTAGGTAGGGTTTTATATATATACATACATACATATATATATATACATATATATATATATACATACATACATATATATATAATAATAAATTAACATATCCATATAATATTTATCATAAATTTTTTTTTATTACATATATATAGTGTAATCACATAAAATTGCCCACTTTTATTCCTAAAACTTTAGCTAAAATAACGAGCTCTAGAGGGAACTAAATCAGAATTTAGATTAGAATTAATTCAGTGTATTATGTTTCCTATGAAGGATGAGAACAATCGATTGAATTTGAATTACTATGATTTATTTTTCCTTTATTCTTGATAAAAATAAACATAATATTTAGGTGGGGGTTTCTTTATTAATTTAATAATTATTTTTTAAATATTATAGCTAATGTCTTAAACTTTTATCATTATCATATTTATTTCTATTTAAATTTTAAGTATTTATTTAAGGGAATTTTAAGATATTTATTACATTTATTGTTTGAAAATAAGTGTAGTGAATATCTTAATGATGAGTAAAATTAATAATTGTGAAAAAAGAAAGACAAATTTGCACAAATAAAATATATTTAAAATATATATTTTTAAATTTAAGTTAAGCCATTTAAAGTTTACAACGTTTTGCAAAACTTTATCCAACTCAAAATAAAACAAAATGATTAGAAATAAATGTAAGTGTTAATTAATTTAATAAACTTGGATGACTTCACTTAAATGGCTATTGATAACTCTAGCACAATTTCATGAACTTTACAGTAACTCAGTTGGATGAATTTATCTTTCACCATCCCCACCATGCAAAGAGGGGATCAAACCCAAGCTTCGGAAGGTGGATTGTCCTCCTTCACTGCTATTTCACCTAGGCATTCAGGTTGTGAGTTCAAGTAGCACGAGGTGCTGAGTCATTTGCCAAACAACTTCACAAGGAGGTTTAGAAAGACTATTTGATGGACAAATAATTGTGGGACAAATGGAATGTGCAATCTTCCAAGAAAACGAGCCTAGAAAAAAGGAGCCTAGGTCCAGACGCATACGATTAAGAAGTGTGAGAGGAGTCCATCCGAAGAGAAGATTAGTGATGTTGTTTCGCTTGAAGTCTTGTGTGGAGGGCAAACGAGGCAATGGCAAGAAACCTTAACTCACTAAGCCGCATAACAGTTGCCACAAGTGTGGAGAGAAGGGCCATCGGATCCTGGGTTAGATTGATCGCAAAGCGGCCGCGATCGAAGCTGAGGCTGATCGAGTGAAAGTTGTTCCTGGTTGATTTTCTGGACGAGTTCTTCTTGCCTAGATTCTTTAGTATGTTTCTTCCATCGAGGTATGATTTTGTGTTTTCGTATGAAGGTGACGGAATCGATCGAAACAGGAGGATGAATTTAAAAACTCTGGAAGCGCATATGCGACATGATTTCTCGTGCTCTACAGTATCGAGAAGTTTATTCGGCACTGGCACTGTTTGTTCACAGGGTATTCAAGTGCCTCAGATTTGGAGTCCCCGTTTTGAGCTCCAAGCATTCTCGCCACTGACGAGAAGATCATATGGTTTCTCGAATAAAAATGGTATGAGCGTTTTCTCTAATTTTGTTTTCTTTCCTCAAAACTCTTGGTTTCCAGTTCTAAAGCTCTGACAATGTTGCTCAATGGCGTCCTCGAATGAGAAAGGTACAAATGCTTTCCTTCCTCTGTTAGCTCGAAGCTAAGACATGTACTTTGTGCGCTTTCTTTTTAGAAGGATGCGTGGGAAAGACGATCTAGCTCAGCTTGGCCCGCCAAACTCAGCACCGAGCTTGCTAAGATCTTCGACAGTGAGACGGCCTCTACGACGGTCTCGCTCGATCTCTCCGACTAATGCCGGCAGAATTCCAGGTCCACTGTTACCCGCTATCAGACGGTTCAACGCCTCTACAGCAACGAGCTCCTCCCCTGATGCAGTCACTACCAGGCCTGGAAAGGTTTCGAAGAAGGGGGAAGCAGCAAAAGAGTCTGGAAAAACAGTGGTTTCCTGGAATGCGGATCTACTTCACAAAGACGACCCCGAGCTTGAGAAGCCGGTCCTTTCAGCGGAAGAACTTCGTGGTCTATGTCCTGAGGGAGTACACAATTTTTCGAGTGATCTTGCTACAAGGATCAACATTCCGAAGCATGCAACAGTGCCGGCCGTGAGTTTGGAAACAAAGAGATCCTACCTATGGCCTACGACGTTTATATTGGTAAGCTTCAAGGCTTTTCTTCGAGAAAGATTTTCTGGTTTACGTGTTTCTCGTTTCCAGCTATCCATCGCATGCTCAGTTGTTCTTTTGTATGCCTTGGCTATGCGGGACCAGGCAGTTCATCTGGAGGTATAACAACTTTCATCGAGCCATCGATTGACCTTTTCTGTTTGTTTTTGCAGCAAGAGGTGGCTAAAACCAGGAAAGAGCTGACAGAATGCAGCGTACGAGTCAAGTTTTGCAGAGAGGTTGAAACAATCGATCCGCAGATTATCCGGGAAGTAGAAACTGAGGTAGAAGTGTTGCGTACGAGAGGAATTAGAAACTATGCCTTGCTCCTTTCCAGTTTTTTCCTGGTCATGCCGTTTCTCCTGCATAAGTTCCTCGATCAGATTCCTAAGCTTGGGTTGAGTGACAGAAGCAACGAAGAAGAGGTCCCATGGAGTACGAGGTTAGCTTACAGGGTAGACGTCGTTTTTTCTTCTTTTTCTTACGTGAAGCCGCTAGCACTGTTGCTGGCAACTCTAGTGCTTATAGTCGTAGGGGGATTAGCACTGTATGCTGTTAGCCAGGATAGCATTTGGGATGCCTTTTGGAGGGCGTGGACTTATGTTGCAGACTCTGGAAATCACGCAGACAACATCGGTTTTGGTCCGAGATTTGTTTCGGTCTGCATCAGCTTGGGAGGACTTCTTATTTTTGCTCTCATGTTGGGACTCGTTTCGGACGCCATTTCAGAGAAGGTGGACTCGCTCAAGAAAGGCAAAAGCGAAGTTATAGAGAGTAACCATACACTGGTTCTTGGATGGAGTGATAAATTGGTGAGCATGGATCTTGCTTCTCTAGTTTTCGGCTCCAGACTAATACATGCTTTCAGGGATCGCTCTTGAAACAATTAGCAATTGCAAATCAGAGTTTAGGTGGCAGCATTGTCGTTGTACTGGCAGAGCGAGATAAGGAGCAAATGGAGATTGACATAGCAAAGTTGGAGTTTGATTTCATGGGAACTTCAGTAATATGCAGAAGTGGTAGTCCTCTCATTATGGCCGACCTCAAGAAGGTACCAGAGACTTATTTCTTACATGACACCTTAACTTGTGAAACCAGGTTTCAGTTTCTAAAGCGCGTTCAATTATAGTTCTTGCAGAAGTCGAGAATGCGGATCAGGTAAAACCTTGCAAACAACTGTCCTCGTCCTAATGGTTTTAATGTTGTAGAGTGACGCGCGAGCATTACGTGTGGTGCTAAGCCTTGCCGGAGTCAAGGAAGGGCTCAAGGGACATGTTGTAGTAGAGCTAAGCGACATTGACAACGAACCACTGGTGAAGCTCGTCGGTGGAGAAATGGTAGAGACAGTAGTAGCACATGACGTGATTGGCCGCCTTATGATCCAATGTGCAAGACAACCGGGACTTGCTCAGGTTCGACATGAACCATCCTTTGTCTTAAAAGTCTTCTTGCTTTCGCAGATCTGGGAGGACATACTCGGGTTTGACAACGCCGAGTTCTACATCAAAAGGTGGCCTCAGCTGGATGGCCTGAACTTCAAAGACGTTTTGATCAGCTTCCCGGATGCTGTACCTTGTGGAGTGAAAGCAGCCTCCAATGGCCGCATTCTTCTCAACCCGGAAGACGATTACATACTACTTGAAGGGGACGAGCTTCTGGTAATTGCAGAAGACGACGACACTTACGCACCAGCTCCTGTGCCAAAGGTACGAACTGTATCTTTTGCTTTTCAAGTTTACTAGCAAAGTAGTCATAGGAAGCTTATAGTCTAGGAAGAAAAAAAGGTAAGTTTGGGGGGAGAGAAAGCATAGCAGCGGACTGAAAATAGAACGTCTCATGTGACCAGGTTGAAAATGTTTCACCTGAACTAGACGTTTGTCGAAAGCCAAAGGTCCCAAAGAAGATACTTCTCTGTGGTTGGCGCCGTGATGTTGAGGATATGATTATGGTAAGATGGCAAGATCTCTGCTGTGCTCACCCTTTCCCCTCCCCCGGCTGCAGGTGCGAGCGGGACCTCTGCCGAAAGTCATGTCACACCGAAAGTATCCTGAGAAGGTTTTGTTTTGTGGTTGGAGACGAGACATGGATGACATGATAATGGTAAGGTTACTCGTGGAGGTCCCATGAGCGCAGCTGAAGCAGACACCGATATTCCTCCCACTTCCCACTACTTTTCTCTCTGAATGCTTTCTAGTGCTTTAAAGATGAGTGTCTTACCAAGTTTGTTTGTTTCTTTTTGCAGGTACTGGAAGCTTTCCTTGCCCAAGGTTCCGAGTTATGGATGTTTAGCGAAGTCCCCGAGCATGAGAGGGAGACGAAACTGTTGGATGGTGGACTTGATCCGCAGTCCTTGTTTAATATCAAGCTCGTACACCGTGAGGGAAATGCGGTCATTCGTCGTCACCTTGAAAGTCTTCCTTTGGAAACGTTTGATTCGGTATGGACAGATTGCTAGATAATTTTTTAAAAAAGTTTTCACTGTCTATTGTACGGATAGATTTTGATCCTGGCAGACGAGGCTCTGGAAGAGTCCGTTGTCAAAGCAGATTCGCGCTCCTTAGCTACGCTGCTATTGATTCGAGATATTCAGGTACGTTCAGATCCTACTTTGCGATACAAAATTCCTTAACTTTGTTTTTCAGTCCAAACGGCTGCCTTACAAAGAAACAAAAACTGTACAAATTCGGCAAGCAGGCTCGAGTCACACGTCTTGGATACGAGAAATGGAGCAAGCTTCTAACAAGTCAATCATTATTAGCGAGATCCTTGACTCTAGAACAAGGCATCTGGTCTCAGTCTCTAAGATAGGCGATTACGTGCTTTCTAATGAGCTAGTGAGTATGGCATTAGCAATGGTGGCTGAAGATAAACAAATCAACCGTGTCCTCGAAGAGCTTTTCTCTGAAGAGGTGAGTTCTTTTTCGTTTTTTGTTTTCCTTTCTGAATCTTTGTTTTGTTTTTACAGGGCAATGAATTATACATACGAACTGCAGCACTCTACTTGTATGACCAAGAGGAGCTGAATTTTTACGAGGTGATGATCCGTGCAAGGCAAAGACACGAGATTATCATCGGTTACCGGCCTGCTGCAGCTGAGCGTGCCATCATAAATCCACCAAACAAAGCTGAGCGTCGAACGTGGTCGATAGAAGATGTTATGGTGGCGGTCGCAGAGGAGGAATAACGAAACCATAAGGTGATCCCTTGTCACTTTTACTCTCTTGCTCGGCTCATAAAAAATCTAGTTCCATGCAGTGGACGTTTGCGAGTGCCGCGTATGGTGACGAGCAGGATCTTGCGTTCGGATGTTCCATGGCTTGTTGCGCAGCTGTTATACCCAGGAGCTTTTCACTCTGAGTTCCACAAGCACCCAGCAGTGAATTCCAAACAGAACTACTTGCAGCGAGAGGCATGCTTTCTATGAAAGCCCGGGCCTCGGACAAGTTTCCAGTTCGAGAGAGAAGATCAACCATGCAAGCGTAATGTTCCGGTGACATCAGTTTTTTCAGCCGGTCGTCCGCTTGTATTGACTTGAAACACTCGTGACCTTCGGCCAGCAATCCAGCACGGCTGCAGGCAGATAACACGCTCAGCACAGTGATCTCGCTCGGCTCCAGACCTTCAAGCTGGAACAACTTATACAACTCGACTGCTTTTTTGCTACAGCCGTTCTGAGACAGCGCTGCAATGGTGGCATTCCAACACTTGAAGTCCCTCACCGGCATACTGTGGAACAACTCGATCACTTCAGTCACCAGGCCGTGCTGAGCGCAAGCAGCGATCATGACGATCCAAGAAACACTGGTCGGCCTCGAGATGGTCTCAAATAGCTTCTTAGCTCGCTCCAACTCTCCGTTTTGAGCATACGCTGCAACCATGGCCGTGGAGGCCACGCCGTTCTCCTGGTTCGTAGGTATGCTCGTGAATATATACTCAGCTTCTTCCAGTTTACCGCCCCGGGAGCACACAGAAATCATCGTCGTGAGCGACACATCGCTTCTCTGAGGCATCAAGTCAAACACTTTTCTCGCCTGGACGAACAGATCATTCTCGCAGCAGCCACCGAGAGCCGAGTTCCACGACACAAGATCTCGTCGAGGCATGCAGTGGAAAAGCTCTAGAGATTTCTCGACGAGCCCGGCCCGAGAATACGCAGCCATCATCTCGTTACACAGCACGGTGTTGGCGGAGCCAACTTTCGCGAAGAGCCGGCTTGCCTCGGCGAGAAAACCATTTCGGGCATAGGCAAACACCATCGCGTTCCAACAGGCAGCGTCCCTCGCCGGGAGAGTATCGAAGAGAGCTCGAGCTTGATCGAGAGTTCCTCGACTCCGACTATACGCCGAGATCATCGTCGTGGAGCTCACAACGTCGTGCTCGGGCATTTTCTCGAAGGTGTTCTTGGCGAGCTCAAAATTGTCACTGGAAACGTATCCTTGGAGAAGTCCGTTGTAGGAGACAACGTTCCTCTCGGCCATGGCATCGAAAACACTGCGTGCTTGGGTGATATTCCCAGCCTGGGCATAGCACTGGAGGATGGTGGTCCAAGAACAGGCTTCCCAGGCGGGCATTGCATGAAAGATCTTGCAAGCGGCCTCCAGATCGTGGTGCTGAGAGAAGGAATGGACCATCGCGTTGAAAGAGATGGCATCCCGGTGCTCCATTTGATCGAAGATGAGCTTGGAGCTCGCGGTATCGGTTTGAGCTCGGAGAATGATCGTGCAAGCGATCGTCGAGTGCTGTGGCATGATCCAGAAGACGCTGTTAGCTTCCTGGACGAGACTAAGTTGCAAGAAGGCTGAGAGAATCGCCTCCCAGGTTCTTGGATCGCGCGGGGAGCTGCGGTTGAAGATAGCGATGGTGTCGTCGATGGAAGCGTCTCGCGGGAGGGAAGAGATCAGCAAGGTGGAGAGCGTGGAATCGGGAGGGAATGGGATTTGATCGAAGAGAAGCTTCGCTTGGTGGAACTGGCAGCTTTGAAGGTAGGCTTGGATCATTGCAGTCCAGGCGACGATGTTCCTTTCAGGCAATCGATCAAAGATATCGCGTGCTTGATCCAAGCTTCGGTCCTGAGCCAGCATCTGGATCATAGTCGTGCAGCAGACCAAGTTCCACTGCGGCATGGCCGCGAAGATCATTCTTGCAAGTTCCACAAGGTCCCTTCTTCCGGCATTTGCAGCGAGGAGCGCAGTCCATGAGATTACATCTTTCTGCGGCATTGAATCAAACAAAACTTTAGCTTCTTGGGCCAGGTTAGACCTCCCGTACGCAACTATTATAGCAGTCGATGCCACAATAGTGTCGTCAGTACAACGTTTCATCTTCTCGTAGAAAAGCTTAGCCTGGAGTATTTCTCCAAACTGGGCAAACGCTGCAATGATAGAGTTCCAGGAGTTTATGCCGTAAGCAGGCAGCCGATCGCACACAGTGTCTAGGCATTGCAAATTCTCGCTTAAGGCAAAAATTTTGATTATCACATTCCACGAAATGGCATCTCGAGCGGGCATGAAATCAAAGAAGTGTTTTGCCTGACACAATTGCCCGTTCTTGGCAAATGTGTCGAGCATGATGTTACACGAGAAGAGATCCGGCTGGGTGATGCCATTGAAGACCTCGCACGCCTCCTCGACGCTCTTGCATCTGCCATACATGAGGACGAGGTGATTCGCAAGGAAATTCGAGGGCCAGTGCTCGCACGACAGGATCTGTGCGTGAATTCGCCTCCCGCGCGCCAGGTCGCGATGGAAGCCGCACGATCGCAAGAGCGCCACCAAATCGTGCGGCTGTCTCATACGATGTGAACTATAAACATTGTTTAGGATGCAAAGAAAGTCAATAGTCTTTGAGGTTTATTGACTTTGTTGTCTTTTGTTGATTTCATTGACGTTTTGAAGTTCTTGATGAATTGGAGCGAGCTTGAGAGCCATCACAGAGGCAAGACGATCGCGAGCTGCAAAAGAAATGAGAGAATTTGAGAGCTGGAAGAGTGATAAAGAGACAATGAGATCACCTATTTGGCTGCCTCCATAGCTCGGGGAGCTGGCTGATCTCGGGGAAGCAGGGCAGACAGATGTAAACCTCGTCCCTGATCACCTTCTGATCCTTGCTCACGAACCACACCCGATCCTGTGCTGCTCCATAAACGTCTCCACCAGGAGCTCCATGTGATTTTCGTTCAGCAAACGAACTTACGGTTGCCCGTCACGAACACCTGATCAAACACCCAGTATGATCAGCGGAGAAAAGAAAACTCTGAGAGCTTTATACCGTGCCAGCAGCATAACGAGCCTGCTGGTTCGCACGAGTGTATGAGATTAGGAGAGGGAACATTCTCTCCAACCTCTCAAACACCCACTCGCAGAAATCCTCACAGCAATGCGAGAAAGGCATCCCAGCTGCTCCAAGTAGTTGACATCGCCAAGCATCGAAATGCTCACTGGAGACCTGTCAGACTTGAAAGTATATTTTTAGAATATGCATATTTTAGTTAAACCTATACTTTTGCCCTTATTTATTTGACTGGTCAAAAGTGAGCCCTAAAAGTGTTTGAGCTCCAATTTTGCAGTAAAGTATATCCTTAGAATATCCTCATTTCACAAAAAATTTATAATGAAAATATTCAATATAAATCTCTCAGCCAAAACTAGAAAATTGGTTGGATTGATTAGATAATATCCCCTCTTTTGTTTTCGTGGATTATGTAAAGAAGGGAGAAGCCTTTAATCTGTACGAGTAAGACTGATATTTAAAACGAGAATCTTAGTTGATTAATTAGATTGATAATGTTTGTTGCCCAAAGTTAAGCCCAGGTGGAAATGGTGTTTATAGTGGTGCTAATGGTGGTGGGAACTAAATGTGAGAAAGACCAAACAACTAATTTCAGCTTTGTTCTTCCTACAAAAAGAACAAATGAGTGTTTGCAAATGTAATACAATTGTTTAGAGTTTGGTCAGATAGGCTGATAGTGCTCTGAATCAAAAGCATGCTAGTATGGCAAGCATGATGGAGTGCTTGGAGAAGCATGTGGCTCTTAGTGGTAGTCATGTTTCAATATCATTACCTTTCATTCTTTTTGGTGGATTGCCATATGTTTTCTCACAATAGTTATATTTCCAATGCCTAACTCCTTTGCCAGAAGAATAAGTTAAAAGGTTCACAACATGAGACCAAGCTCAATCAGTTGCCATCACTCTTAAAAATGTGCTTTGTGGTCTCTTTCTCTTGTTTAGCACAGTAGTTTTCTTACTCATATTTCCTCACATCACCTTTGATTTGGCATGGCAGCCACACAATGGCTTGGTTAGGAGTATGGAGGCTATTGCCATAGTCAATTCACCAAAGACCTAGCTGCCGACTGCCAAGAAGGAAATCTAAGGTGTTGTTGGTGCTGTGGAGGAGCTTGTCAAGATTCTAGTGGTTAGATCTTCTCCTATTGCTTCAGATCTTCTGCTAATCTCTCTTTGTGTCACTGCTGATTTAAAAGCAACAGCTCTAGATTTACTCGTTAGCAATTCTTGCACGACACCTCTAGATCTTGTGAACCAAAGGATACAAATTGACTGATTTCTACACATTAGCAACTTAAATCTAGTATGCCAACACTGGTTTGTTCTATGAATTTTAATTATAATTGTTCTTTTAATTCTTATAATTTTGTAAATTTTAAATGGACGTTCCTTTGTTTGATCTTATATTATTGAGAATTTATTTCATCTGGACCTCATTTAATTTATTTTAGTGCTTCTCTTTTTACTTTTGTGTTTATAGATTTCTTTTTGTTGAGCATGGAGGAGCTTGAAAAAATTTATAATTTATAAATATTTTGTTATAACATTTAAACATAACATTAATCTAAATTAATAAAAACTGTTAAATAATAAAATATCCCAAAATATCCAAATATATTTTAGGTACACTAAATGCACTTGTAGCACTGATAGAGGCACATTAGCCACCTCTAAAGCACCCAAATTGTGTTAATTTTTCAGTTGTAATTTGAATTTTTAATTAGAAAAGATTGGGAAACAAGATACACACTCTCTTGGGTAAGATGGCAAAAATATTTTTTTGGTTTGACACAAGATGTTTAAGAATATCCAAAAGTCTTTATATTTAATGTTATTAATAAAAAAGATTACAGTTATAATTATAAAAATTTAAATTTCTTAAACACTTTCAAATCAACTGATTCTATTAATACATTTAATCCAAATCGTCAAATGAATATACTAAGAGTATTCTCAAATATCCCACCTATAACAGATTTACTTATAGGAAACAAAAAAATGTTATGTCTGGTGGCACATATGACTGCAACATAAAGGCAAACATTTTAATATATTTTTTTTAAATATAATTTTTCTTTATTAATTTTTTAAAATAGAAGCTATATAATTAAAATATCATTTTTATTAAAAAATAATTATATAAATATCTATTATTAATTAAAATTAGTGGATTTTAATATTTAAAATTAAAAATATATTAACTAAAATTAATAAAAAACAATATAAAATATTATTAGGTATTTAGTTACTAATTATTGGTTAAGCTAAGTTCTTAATTTGTTATTGAAAGATCAAATACACTAGGGAAAACATAATATATATCAAATTTTTTTTTAATAGAATAATATTTATTTAAGTATAAAATCATTTCTAATAAGATAGACACAATTGGCATATCATCCTTTTCTTTATCCGAATATTTATTGAAGCACGTTTGGTATAGCTTTATAGAGAGAAATTCATGTGTCCCACCATAATATATATATATATATATATATATATATAAATAAAACACATTAAAACATGAGTGTTTTTTAAAATGGATAAAGTTATATTAAAGTACATTTTAGTTATATCTACTATGTTAAGTTTACACTTTAATGAATCTATTGCTAAAAAACCTATTATTGGAAGAAGTGGATATTTAAATCCTTATGATATTGGTAAAATTATTACAGCTTTTTATCAATTATTAGAAAAAATTAAATATGATGAAAGTTATCCAACAACTTATGGTGATGATGCTGAAGTCAATACTTCAAGAGGAATAGTTTCAGTATTTATTAAATGCAAAGATCATTGTTCTGTTGAAAACACAGATGCATCAATTTCAGGTCTATACATATTGAATGGTTTGCAAAGTTTATTAGCTTTAAGTACAGATATTATAAACAAAGAATGTGCAGGTTCTTTTGAGAAAGAAGGGTATAAATATATATTAAAATATAATCTCAAAACAGATGATTCTATTTCTATAACTGCATATTTAAATAGAAAAAGTTTAGTCGATCATATTATTTATTGCCAACTAAGATTTAGTGTGTTATACTCTAATACAATTCTTTATAGTGATAGCTTTTTAGTTTCTCCTAATGGTAAAAATATATTATTTTTAAAAGTAGATTGTGTGCTTACTTTATATTCAAAGGAAAAAATAATTTGGGAAAAAAACTATTCTTCTAAAAATTTGTTTAGTTGTAATTTAATATTACAAAATAATGGGAGTCTTGTATTTAAACATATTCAGGAAGTATTGTGGTCTTCAAATAAATATTGCAGCCCTAAACTTGAATGTTTTATGCCAACATATTTTGTAGTCCAAAATGATTGTAATTTAGTTATTTATAAATCAAAGTTTCCTAATAACGTATTATGGGCGTCTGATACAAATAACCATATGTTATGCCATATCTAAAATTTAATATGGAAATTAGAATCTTAATTAAATGAAATATACAGTTAAAAAGTGTTTGAAATAAAAAAGACATCAAGATTTCTTGGTTGTGAACAGTGTTTAAGAGTGGACCTTTAATTATCTTGGAGGTGCCCGCGGCTGAAATGTTTATTTTCCATTGGCGATGCCTTTGCATCCTGCTACATTTCCTTTCTAGTTGCATGATTTTGTGTGGGCACTGGCGATGAGGAGGAAGCCCGAGAGGAGCGCAGTGGGGAGGGAACCTGGACTGCTGCGACCACTTTGTGAGAGACGAGTCCGCCGAATGTATTTGTTGTCATGTGTGAAAGTTCCATTGAGCTCTGCATATCTTTATAGGAGGTTTACAGCGAGCACGAGGAATCAAGCGAAGGGCGCATGGTGGAATCGCTGCTTGCACGATCATTCTCCTCGCTTAAACGATACCGCGAGCTCCAAGCTCATCTTCGATCGAATGGAGCACCGGGATGCCATCTCTTTCAACACGATGATCCAGTGCTTCTCTCAGGACCACGATCCGGAGGCCGCTCGCGAGATCTTTCACGCAATGCCCGCCTGGGAAGCCTGTTCTTGAACCACCATCCTCCAGTGCTATGCCCAAGCCAGGCATAACACCGAAGCACGCAGTGTCTTCGATGCCATGGCCAAGGGGAACGTCGTCTCCTACAACGGGCTTCTGCAAGGATACGTTGCCAGTGACAGTGTCGAGCCCGCCAAGAACACCTTCGAGAGAACACCTTCGACGTTGTGAGCTCCACGACGATGATCTCGGCCTATAGTCGGAGTCGAGGAACTCTAGATCAAGCTCGAGCGCTCTTCGATACTCTCCCGGTGAGGGACGCTGCCTGTTGGAACGCGATGGTGTTTGCCTATGCCCGGAATGATCTTCTCGTTGAGGCAAGCCGGTTCTTTGCGAAAGTTGCCTCCGCCAACAACGTGTTGTGTAACGAAACGATGGCTGTGTAATTCTCGGGCCGGACTTGAAAAATTCTCTGGAGCTTTTCTACTGCATGCGTCGGCGGGATCTTGTGCCGTGGGACTCGGCTCTCGGTGGCTGCTGCGAGAATTATCTGCTCGTCCTGAGGCCCCAGAGGAGTGAGGTGTCGCTCACGACGATGATCTCTGTGTGCTCCCGGGGCTGTAAACTGGAAGAAGCTGAGTATATATTTCACGAGTCTACCTGAGAGCAGGACGTCGTGGCTTGCACGGCCATGGTTGCAGCAAAACGGAGAGTTGGAGCGAGCAAAGAAACTGTTTGAGACCATCTCGAGGCCGACCAGTGTTTCCTGGATCGCCATGAGCGCTGCTTGCGCTCAGCACGGCCTGGTGACTGAAGCGATCGAGTTGTGCCAGTGAGGGACTCCAAGTGCTGGAATGCCACCATTGCAGCGCTGTCTCAGAATGGCTGTAGCAAAGAAGTAGTCAGGCTGTACACGTTGTTCCAGCTTGAAGGTCTGGAAACGCAAAATCTTGCTCGTCATCATACGGGTCCGAGATCTTCTTCAACACTCAAGAAAACTCACCTCTTCAGAGAAAAGCTCTTCAAGGACACGGTTGATCTGTTTATCTTTAGCCACCATTGCAAATGCCATACTCACTAGCTCATTACAAAGCACGTAAGCCAAGATGTGTGACTCCATTGCTGGGATCCTGTGCAAACTGATAGTGTC